TTTCTGTGTGTGTATGAATGCATGAGTGTGTGTGCACAGATCAGGTATCATGTTTTCAGGTAGAAGGCAGACAGCACAGAGACGCTTCAGCCGCTGTAATTATGTAATGATGTTATCATACATCAGTATCAGTATCTCACCAAACAAACAGACCCTGTTATGAAAATTGTGAAAAGGAAGGGGGAAAAAAAAGAAAAATCACAAAAAGTGTATTCTCTTCATAGTTAACCACAGTAACTAGATGGACTAAATCTAGAGAACAGAATATCATATAAACTTGAGGTCGGGCCGGGTCACACTGTACGATTTGGCCGTCTCAAACTAATTTAGTAAATCCTTAAAGATTCCTCTGATCTTTGGCCAAAATCGAAAGTCTTTGATCGCTGGTTTGACAGGTCTGCAGACAGCCGATTAATGACCATTGCGATTAAAAGTGAAATTCTGGCAGCGTCAGAAGTTTTGAGGCACAGTCCTACAGTGTGACTTCTCCTATCAAATCAAAAACTTATAGGAACACAGAACCTGATGCCGCAATTAGTGTGACAACGTCAAACCAGCACTTGCTCCACACACACACGTCTTCATTTTCTTCCAGTTTACTTTTCAAGAAAAGCCGTAACCAAAATTAACACTAGAGATTGTTTTTGTTTGCTAGCCACCATTTCTATCCCACATGAAATGCAGCTTAGTAACCGAACGTGTCACAGATTGATGATGTAAATCTCTAATGACAACTGAGACCCTACAGTGCTTACAGTGGAGATCATGTTTGTACAGTCTGACAAGCAACAGTCGTAAAGGACTATAATAGATCATACAGTGTGCATACGGCTTTAGACAAGTAGGCAACATCCACCCTTATCCCCTAACAACCCCGACACATTCTAAATTACACTTTAAAAGTGCATAGCAACACCCTGGCAACCACATAAAACACCCTAGCATCATGGAGGAAACTTTTGCACAAGTAAACACCACTTAAAGTTTGCTCAGAAAATATAAAGATAATGCAAAGAGATTTTATATTACATAATATTACGAATACGGATTGCTCCGAGACTTGGGTTGAAGATGCAAATGCAGCTTTATTGGGACAATCCAGAATCACAGTCCATATAAAGAGCAAAGGGGCAAACAATCCAAAAAAGCAACAGGGAAGAAAACTAGGGATGCACCGAATATTCGGCCACCGAAAATTTTCGGCCGAAAATGGCCCAAAAGGGCATTTTCGGCCAAAAGACTTTTATCACCGAAACAATACAGCCGAAATGTTGTGATGACGCAAACAGAAACCGCGACCTGCACGTGTTTAGTCTGAAGCAACATGTCTGCGGTGTGAACGTATTTCAGTATATCTGAACCCACGAGGAGACGGAAGCCTTGTTTATACTTTCGCCCGCCTCCGCAGCGCGAGTCTCCACAGACAGCGCGCGCACCTCTCCAAACGGTCGAGGCGTTTAAGCCCCGTTTAAAGCCCCGTTCACACTACACGCGACCAAGCGACGCGATACCATTCATTTCAATGGTGAGCGGGCGACTTCCGGCGACACGCGCGACAGCGACCGTTGGCGACCGGATGGGGCGTGTCTGGCGACGCGACAAAGTTGAGATCTGTTTAACTTTATGCAAATGAGGAGCGACTTTCGGGAGCGACAACCAATAGGAGCGCATATGATCCTTCTCCACATCATTGGATGTCATTCATAAAGGCAACCAGTAGTGGGAACTCCCACTAGCGACCTCATCGCCAGCCACTGGCGACATGCAGCGACAAAGTCGCTTGTAGTGTGAACGGGGCTTTCCACTACATGCGACCTTGTCCCTGCAAGTCGCCAGTGGCTGGCGATGAGGTCGCTAGTGGGCGTTCCCACTACTGGTTGACTAGTATGACATCCAAAAGCCGCTATGACATTCTTGCCGCTATCACTGAAGGCCCAGGGGCTGAGGAGAAGGATCACGTGCGCTCCACTCCTATTGGTTGTCGCTCGCGAAAATCACTCATCATTTGCATAAAGTTAAAAATTTCTCAACTTTGTCGCGTCGCCAGACACGCCCCATCTAGTCGCCAACGGTCGCTGTCGCGCGTGTCGCCGGAAGTCGCCCGCTCACCATTGAAATGAATGGTATCGCGTCGCTTGGTCGCGTGTAGTGTGAACGGGGCTTTATACTTGACGCGCTCGCAATGTACTATTCTTTGAAACGACAGGGGGCGACTCAAGTAACTGCCCTCGAACTATCAGGAATCGGTGAGAAGAAGAAAGATAAACACGTGACAATGTTTATTTTTTAGTATACCACCAACAATACAAAAATAATCATGTAAAACCCAGTAAACCCTGAGATTATTACTTGTGACATTACAAAAAAATGTGGCTCATGGGCGGCAGTGGCTCAGTGATTCATGTGGGTTGTCTACAAACCGGAAGGTTGGTGGTTCAATCCTCGGTTCCACCTGACCAAGTGTCGAGGTGTCCATGAGCAAGACACCTAACCCCAGCTGCTCCCGACGAGCTGGATGGCGCCTTGCATGGCTGCAGTCACCCGTCGGTGTATGAATGAGTGAGTGAATGGGTGAATGTGAGGCAAATTGTAAAGCGCTTTGGTGGCCATTGGGTCTGTGAAAGCCCTATATAAATGCAGTCCATTTACCATTTACAACTAAATTAACGCTCTCTTAAATATTTTCTAATTTCACTAAACATATTTCATTAAGTTTCATGTACATTTGTATTAAACATGGACCTTACTTAATTCATTAAAAAGGCTTTTTATGCTATTGTATGCTCATTTTTTAAAATGTAAGCAACTAATTTAGACGTGCAAACTGGGTGCTGGTGTGATGAGAAGTTCGTGCTCGGCTTTGTTTTTATGAGAGAACATTTCATTTTAAAACCTTTCTGCAGGCCAGTAGATTATTATTTAATGTACACATGAAGTTAAACATTTTAGTTTGAATTTTATTTTATACTGTGCATTGTGCTAAATAAATATTTGCATAATTTGTAATTGATTTATTCTTTGAAAATTTTATTTTAATTTATGCAATTGCAATGCCTTGATTTTAGTAAAGTTTGTACACAGTCATAGCCATAAATGCAATGGTACTAATAATTGGCATAATTTCTTTCGGTGTTTCGGTTTTCGGCCTTGGTTTCCTCTTTTTCGGTTTTCGGTTTCAGCCAAGGATTTTCATTTCGGTGCATCACTAAAGAAAACACAGGCAAAAGGATAATCCAGAATATGGGCAGAGAATCAAATAACTAAGACACGGGAAACAAGGATAAAGCTCAGAAATGCAGCGTAACAACATACAAGACTTCGCAAAGAATGAACGAAAACACAGGGCTTAAATAGGCAAGCGTTAACAAGATAATGAGACACAGGTGGAAGTAATGAGATCATAATGAGTCAAGGCAATGGGTTATGGGAAGTGTAGTACATGATGGGAAAGCAGTGTTTCCAGGCCCATTGATGATAATTCGCCGAATGACTGCAATTGCAGATTTCGAACAGAGATGGCGACAAAGAGGAAAAACTGCAGACTGCAGCTTTAAATGGACATGTGTATTGTGTTCTCGGGTTTTGTTATTATTAACTAAAACTATTACAAATAATTTTTCAAGATGATGAAATAAAACAATTTTTATATAAGATTAAAAACTTCAAATTAAAAATAGTGAATTGGAAACTAACTGAAATAACTAATAACAATAAACTACAATGACAAAAGCATATAAGAAAATTACTAAAACAAACTTACATTCAAATGAAAATAAAAGCCCATTCAAAATGTAATAAATACTATAATAAATAACACTGATGTTCTCCAGAAGAACAGATATTCATTTGAAATATAAAAGAGAAGTGTAAGTGTGACAGTAATGACGTCGCTCTATGATATGCAAAAGCAGGCCAGACAAATAAAGCACGAAACCTCTCTGAGCGGCGCGCTGACTGTATATATTTAGATATCAGGCCACAGGGTTTCCTCCCTTCTTGGTCTTTGTCGTACATCAGTTCTGTCTCCCTCCCCTATTTTTTTGCTTCATAACCTTCATTTTTTCCAAGTCGTATATTAATTTTCTGTGTATGCCCAGCTAACTCATCGCCCTCCCCCCTTCAACCCACTTAGCGTCTCTAGAGGATTGTGGGACGGCACCCATGGCCAAAGCCTCATACAGACACTGGTCTCCTGAGTGTCTGAATGATGTGTTTAAAACTCAAGCATGTGTGCGCAAACACTCTCAAACACACACGGGGCACTCGCACAGAAATTGTTAACACCCCTTTTACGTCATCTTTACTTTGGCGTTTCGGAGGGTAAGATTCAAGCCTCATGAGGGACATCTGTGGTTGTGTGTGTGATCGGATAGCCAGAACATCTCTGTTGTGTTAAGCAGCTTTAAAACAGAGCTCTGATCAATAATGTAGGAGCCGAGAACAAAAACACATACATGAGAAACCTGAAATGAATCCAGCGAGCGTCCATGCCTCGACTCACTAATTTCATACAATATCCAGCCAGTGCAATGCCAAACTAATATCAATAATATCAGCAAAACAATTGACCCCAAAACAGCCTCAATTCATCTTTATGGTTGTTTTTTGTCCAAACATCAAATACGCACCAATGTCACAGTCTGAATCAAGGTGAAACTGAAGTAGAAAATACTCCTTTTGGCTCTAAAATCTAGTGACCTTCCAACCTAGAACGCATTTTAAGGCATCAAGGCTCCTTTCGATCACATTTTATGGCAGCATTGCATGTATTCTTCAGAAAGAAAGCAGAAAGACCTGCAACAAACTCATGAAACAGAGGAATTAAGCATTTGGTTCAATTAAAAAAAGACAATTTTCTATAAACGTCATTTTCTTTAATAATTATAAACAAAACATTTTCTATAATAATGCTTTGCATAAAAACATCTGCTAAACCGATTACTTTGATATAAGAACGTTTTTATATGCAGAGTCACACTCAAATGCCACCACTCTCGTTTAGTTTTATGAACTGATGATGATCTGTTTGTTTTTCCCAGGGGTCTGAGGAAACCGAAGTGCTTCTACTGGTGATTGGATTTGACCCAACATCACTACAACTAAACCACCCACCACCCTGGACTCGCACTACTACTAAACCGCTCCAAAAGAGAGGGAACACCAGATTGGAAAAATAGGAAGGTGGAGCGCTAAAGAGGATGAGCGTGGGTCGGATCGGTCGCTACAGTATCGTGTCGACGGAGGAGGATGCTCTGCGTTTAACCACCATGCATGGCGGAGGGATGAATGGATATGGCAACGGCAAAATCCACACCCGACGGAAAAGTCGCAACCGCTTCGTGAAGAAAAATGGACAGTGCAATGTGCAGTTCACCAACATGGATGAGAAGTCCCAGCGCTACCTGGCGGACATATTCACCACTTGCGTGGACATCCGCTGGCGCTACCTAGTGATCGTTTTCACGCTAGTCTTCGTGATTTCCTGGTTGGCGTTCGGCTTGGCGTTTTGGGTTCTCGCGCTTCTCCACGGTGACTTGGACAACCCGGCGGGCGACGACAACTTCACGCCGTGCGTTCTGCAGGTGAACGGATTCATCGCGGCGTTCCTGTTCTCGATCGAGACGCAAACGACCATCGGTTACGGGTTCCGCTGCGTGACGGAAGAATGTCCTCTCGCGGTGTTTCTCGTGGTCTTCCAGTCCATCGTGGGCAGCATCATCGACTGCTTCATGATCGGAGCAATCATGGCCAAAATGGCACGTCCTAAGAAGCGAGCGCAGACTCTGTTGTTCTCGCAAAACGCCATCATCGCCATGCGCGACGGGAAACTGTGCTTGATGTGGCGGGTGGGGAACTTGCGAAAGAGTCACATCGTCGAGGCGCACGTCCGAGCGCAGCTCATCAAACCGCGGGTCACGGTCGAAGGCGAGTACATCCCACTCGACCAGCTGGACATCAATGTCGGTTTCGACAAAGGGCTGGACCGCATCTTCCTAGTCTCGCCAATCACAATCCTGCACCAAATCGACCAGGAGAGTCCTCTGTTCGGCGTCGCTAAGCAGGACCTCGAAACGGCGGATTTTGAGATCGTGGTCATCTTGGAGGGAATGGTGGAGGCGACGGCCATGACGGCACAGGCGAGAAGCTCCTACTTGGCTAGCGAGATCCTCTGGGGGCATCGATTCGAGCCGGTGCTGTTTGAGGAAAAGAACCAATACAAGGTCGATTACTCACACTTCCACAAGACCTACGAGGTGCCGTCCACCCCTCGCTGCAGTGCCAAGGACATGATGGAAAACAAGTACCTGGTGGTGCCCAGCGCCAACTCCTTCTGCTACGAGAACGAGCTGGCGATCCTGAGCCACGAAGAGGAGGACGACGACAGTCCGGAAAGGATAAAGCCAGAGCGAGCGAGGAGCCTCAGCCCGGAGAGAACGCCTCGACATGATTTCGAGCGACTGCAGAACCCTCGCTGCGCGGAGCAAAGGTCATACCGAAGGGAGTCAGAGATATGAACCTTTACCATGACCTTTTTGATACTCGAATTTCGTGTTTCGTTCCTGGAGACACTGGAGCTTCTAAAATGCAGAACAATGCAAAGTGCCATACGGAGAGAGTGAGCGAGTGAATGAATGAGCAATGAACAAACGGGTGAATGTGTGAAAGCTGGAGCGACGTGTAGCGGAGGGGAGATGCCGATTCGAAGAGAGAGAGAGAGGCAGTAGGAATCTTTTTATCCTGCACGGAAAACTTGAATCTTTTCCTCGTTTTGTTTCATGATACTAGTTTAGCTGTTAAACTCTTGATTCTTAAAGGGATAGTTCACTGAAAAAATGAAAATTCTGAAAAGATTATTTACTTACTCTCATGTAGTTCCACGACTGTATGACTGTCTTCCGTGGAATACAAAAGGAAATATTTCAAAAGGTTATAATAACAAAAGATATATATACTTGTAAAAACAATTTTTTATAATTATATTAAAATGATATATCAAATTCCTAATTATTCTTAAATATGAAATTAAAAATTATATTAATTGTATTATTTTTATATATATTTATTATAAATTGTAATATATTTCTTATTATGTGTTTCGATATATTTTATAAACACTTATATCCACCCTGCACCATATTCGGTTGAAGAGCTTTGAATTTGTTTTCAGAAATCTATGATTTGGCTTCAGAGGACTGAATACAGTCGTTTGGACTTTTAAAAGACATGGTCAGAATGAACTAGGGTTGCAAAGGGACAGAACATTTCCTGTAAATTTCCAGAAACTTTCCATGGGCAGTTTATAGGGAATTAATGGGAATTTATTGGAATTAATTGGACATTTTGGGTAATTTATACAAACTGTATCATATACAAACATAAATATAAACATTTTGTTTGGTCATAAGCAGACATGCAACTAATACACATTTAAAAACATTTTTTATTTATTTGTGAGTAGAACTTTAATTGATTATTTCATTAAACAACAAATAAACATGAATTTTGAATAAAATAAACATATTTCCTATGATTCCCCCCCCCCAAAAAAATCCCATTCAAAATGTGAAACGAAAGCACATCCTCCCCCCCCCCCCACCCAAAATATGTCCCATTAAAAAAGTTGTTTTAACCAAGATTAAGCTGTAAGATGTTTTTTTTTCAATTAAGTATTTAAGTTAAACTACAATTTTAAAATTAATTTTAATGATTAATTATTCCAATAGAAAGTTTCCAACTTTGAATTTTGCAACCCTACTATAAACTGTCATTATGTAGAAAAGCATTTTCTTAAAAAAAAAAAAAAAAAAAAAAATCTTCTTTTGTGTTCCACAAAACAAAAAAAACAGCATACACATTTGAAACTCACATGATGAGGGAGTGTAAACTATGACAAAACAATGAACATTATTTTTGGTGTGCTATTCCTTTAATGTGTAAATATTTCTGCGTAGATTCATGGTTTTGTGTGCGATATTAATTTCTAGTAAGAGAAAAACAAAGACAATGTTACATTTACAAAGAAAAGGAGGAAAGATATTAGTCAATTTATTTTTGCATTCAATCCAAGCACAAATGACAAGCAATGCCGGGGCACACTATCCCTGGAGATCTACACACACACTGATCAGTGAGACATGATAAATTCCCCTTTACAACTGCACTACCTAGACAGACCATGTGAACAATGTGAGCACCTGAGCGTGTGTGTGTGTGTGTGTGTGTGTGTGTGTGTGTGTGTGTGTGTGTGTGTGTGTGTGTGTGTGTGTTTTGTGCAGCTGAGCACAATGCCTCATGTGAGACGCACAAGGAGAAGGTTAAATGGCAAACACTCCTAAAACTACAACATGCTCCTCTTGCATATTTGTTAGATATATTTACAGCAAAATAGAGATATATATTTAGGTAGAGAGATATATAATGTAGACATTATCAGTTTGCACCATGTAACCTAATATAGCGGCAGATCTTCAGAGAACTCACTGGGATAATCATCTTATTTGAACTGTTTAGATACTTAATCTCTTGTCCCTGAGGCTCTGACAGAAACGCCTGATAGAAACTCTGTGTGAATCCAGAAACTTCCCTTCAAATGTCGTATTTTAATACATTTACCTGTCTTAATATATTTCAACTTCCTGCCGAATTTTTCATAAACAGAATGGGATTCAAGAATGCCAACATTTACTGCATTTCTATTCATATTAAAAAAAGAAACTACATGCCGAACTAACTTGAAATATAACGATTGAGTATGATAGTATTCACTGATCTATGCACACGGTCGGACTGAGTGTCGAGTACAATCTGCATTTCATCATCTTCTCTTTTCTATTATTATTGTGACAAAAACCTCACAACATCTTGATGCATTTCAGCAGTTCATTTAAAGGGATGTTCCAGGTTAAATAAAGCTGTCAATTATTACAGATATTACATAACTTCACCAGCATTTCATGTAAAAGCAAACAAAAATCATGTTTACAGTAATGCACTAGGAAGTCTATGGGGGCAAGGCATTAAAGGAATAATATAACTATAATCAACGTTGGGTCAGAGGTCACCCTTCGGCTGCAACTCGGCAATCATGAACGCGCGCCTGAAGCCAGTGATTATAGTTTATGAAGTTTCAAATGTGGATTTTTTTTTGTACAATCACTTCGCTTCATTAGGCATTTATAAACCCACTGGAGCCGGATGGATTGCTTTTATGATGGATGGATTTGATTTTTGGAGCTTAAAAAACTCGGGCAATATTCAATGCCATTACAAAGCTGGGAAGAGCCAGGATATAATTTTCATTTTGGGGTAAACTATTCCTTTAAAACAGCCAGTGTCTTTGTTTCAAAAACTAATTAGCTGTCACCGTAGGCAGCCTTTCAAGACATGCATGCATGTGCTCTCGATGGAATTGGACAAATATTAATAAAGCACATCTAAAACTTTGCTTCGAACAGTAATTTGAAGCATGTATCAAAATGTTAAAGCCCCGTGATTTCAGTAAATGTGGCTCCGAATCGCTGTCGTCTCGCGCCGCGGTCCTATGACGTAATACACCGATCACCTCAGCGCCACTTCAAGCCGAACACACCTTTCCTATGTTATATAACGGTTTCGAAATTTTTGGAAATTCATTCTCCGCTGCATATTTAATCTCAGAACAGTTTTAATTACACATTTGTATAATAAAAAATGATAAGTAGTAGTTAATTGTCTCTTATTGGCGTGATTATAGCCCTCCATAAAATAAGCCCTACAAAACACATAGGCAATTAGACAACCCATGTTAATGGTATTTGATGATTTAAGTTTATTTAATTGCATTTACTAGAACTTATTTACAATTGGTTCGTAAAAGGTGTCTATAATGCATGTTTGAGCAGAGGATTCATTGCAATTTGCACAGTTTTGACCAGCAGATGTCGCAGCGACAAGTTCGGTAAAAAATCCACCCAAGATGGCGGATAAGGAAAATGTTGATGTAAATATATTTCACTTACCAAAACTAAAGTAAAAACCATTCAATCTGATTAAAAAATATTTTATCCAATATTTGTGGTATATTTTATGCTAATCACGTTTTTGGTATTTCGTAATCCTCCAGTGTGATGCTTGTAAGCCGTGTACTTCATATAAAAAATGCTATTTGAATTATTATTAGGCTATATTAGCTATAGAGCCAAACTCATTGCTTAGAATTCAGACAGCAAGGATGCTTACTAGGTTTTGTAGCCTTCGTGTTGACATGGAATTATTGATAAAAACTACTTAATTACCTTGATGTGTACAGATAAATCCAATCTCTTAATTCCAGGCATGACCACGTGAAGCCAGTAAACAGCAACTCTTGTGCAAAGACACCAGATAGAGACTTTTTACCTGGAGAAACGCCACCTACAGGCGTTTCAGTGCAGAAGATGTTCATCCGCCTTAGTTAGTTCCACCTCAAAACGATGATTTAGGAAACTTTAGAGCTAACATAACACATTTTGCACTGAATAATGAATATAGCCGCTTTAACATAAGTTTAAAAATCATGCTGCGCATTTCTGTTTTTTAAACATGTATTACCCCATAGACGTGCCTTGTAGCCTAAGTGCAAACACAATTTTTGCTTGTTTTCATCTACAAATGGACACAATTGTGTGAGGTGATCGACAACATGCCACAGATGTTTGAGATGAGCTTTAGCTGTATTTGATCCGGAATATTGCTTTAAAGAAAGGGGCAAAATAATCACTCATTATTATAAACTGTGGCTCAGATTGAATGCTGCTGCATATCTGTCTGTGTGTGTGTGTGTGTGTGTGTGTGTTATGCCACTGTATGTTAGTATGAAGGGTACATTCATGCAGCAATAATGAAAAGATCAAAGCAATATGTGATGTATCAACCAAAATTTATCAGGACAAAAACATTTCGATTTTACCAGTTTGGAGTGAAGTGAAGCAATGTATTCATTGAGAAAGCACAGAGAGTTATAATAACTTTTGTGAGCTGTACTGTACAACTTTTTTGTAAAAAAAACCCCTGAAAGACAAAAATTTAAAAAATGAATACTAGATCACTCTCTTCTTCTGCTGTTTCATTATTATTCCAAAGCCTTTTGTATGAGATGATACACCTGTGAACACATTCAAATATATGGATCTTACAACAGACCACAAAACAAAATTAATTAAAGAAATATAAAACTGCCCAGTTAAAGCAGAGATCTGAATCATATTGAAATGCCGTGGGGAGTTGAATATCTGTAGCCTAGGGAGAAATGGGCAAAACTGTTGAGAACAGCCAATTTAGGAGACTGAAAGACAATGACAAGAAACGCCTACGAGCCGTGATTTCTGCCAGAGAGAACGACACCTGCTACTGAAGCTAGAAGACAAAACGCCATTTTAACTGGAAACTAAATCTTAGAGACTGAGAATCTGACTGGTTCTTTGTCAAATTGGATCACATCCAATCTCGCTTATGAAGATCAAAACATGCAAACATTTATGGGGTGCACAAACTTTTTCACATTCTCTAAAGTCATCAGTCTTTCAACCACACTAGAAAAAAAACTGTGAAATTTGCGGTAAAAAAATGCAGTTTACAGTAAAAAAAAAAAACATTTTATTAACTGAAATGTTAATACCATATTACAAAAATGAACATAAACCCTAATGTACATAACTGATACCAAAAAAAATAAGAAACATAATGATTTAATTTAAAACCATCAAATGTGAGTTTCACAGGGAATCCTGGGAATGTCAGATTATGTCTTTTTTCTGTAAATTATGATTTTTTTTTTTACTTCCAAAAAAATGGCACATTTAACAGTATTTTACAGTAAAATTACATGAAATGCAAGGTTAGAGTAAAGTTTTTCTCTGTAAATAGTAAGGGAACTAATTATTAATGAAATAACAGGTTTTTACTGTAGCATTTTTACTGTCAGCCATTCAGAATTGTATTGAGAATGTCTTTTAAATTCACTTTTGTTACGGAAACACGGTGAAGAGTTGCAGTGTGAGTTAAAGTGAGCTCAAATTCACACTGTAAATGCTGGCTTGATAAATGTTTAAAATGCCTTTTAAAAGGAAGTTTGACTGTTTTTACAGAAACCTTACAGATATAGAGTATAAGACGCAGTTGGTCGTTTACAAATATTTTTGAAAGACGCCGTTGACCAAGACGCAGGTATTCCAGGTATTTATGTTTAATAGGTGATGATAATATACTAGCCCAACTGAATTACCCAGCAGAACTTAATCGAACACGACATTAACACAGAAAACCGGCGAGTCTGAACCTGCACAGAGAAACAGATGTAACCTACAGGTAATGGCTTCAACTAATCATTTGCATATGTATTTATTAATACATGTATCTACACCTCGTCCAGCGGGATGCTTCTGGCTCCGTCTCTGTGGTTTCTGTTTCCATGGAAACGTAACCGACCGCTGTGGTCCTGCATCGTCTTACATGGGAGAATAATGATTTAAGAACTGAAAGTATGGGTGAAGGAAGCACCGGAAGCTCAACATTGATTCGATCATTATTACAGCTATAGCAACAGAGATTACCCTGCAGCAAAGTATCAATTTGTATCAATATTTATTTATAACAGTTCTTTGAATATGAAAATAATTATCTGCAGTTAAGGCAAGGCACCATGCGGGTAAATAGGGCAAAAATGTCAACTAATAAATATCACTGTTTGAGAATTGTTTTGCATTACAAGTTTTCTGAAAAGTTAGGTTTAAATATGCAAATGAGACATTATAATGTAATTCAATGTATTGGGTTTGTTATTTAACATGCAATCAAAAGTTTGGACTCTCCCAAAGTCCAGAGGACAGATCTCCCACACACACACACACACACACACACACACACGCACACACACACACACACACACTTTAATGTTAATGACTCATGCAGAACTCTGTTGCGTTGAATTAAAGCCGAGCTCTTAACACCATCATCTCATGAGACGCTCTGGGAGGTTTTTGAAGAATATCTTACATACATATATGTTTGTGTGTGTGTAAATGCTACTATTATTCTTATGTTAAAGTTCTTGTTGTCAGCCCTCAATCATAAAAATATGCTTAACTTCATAAAAAGTGAATGGTGTGTGTGGTTTGAATGGTGTTGAGATGAGTGACAGACATGCATGATGGAGATTTCACACACCAAACCCACATATGCACTTACATAACTGTGATCATAGCGTTAATAGAAGGAAGCATGTTGGTACTTGAGCTTTGAATCCTCAGCTGCTGGATTCATTATTCACAAACACTCAATAAACGCTTCAAAATAAACTACATCAAATCAAATCTGATTTCAAGAATTATTCACAGACGTTCCCTCCCTCCATCGTTTTTCCTCATACAGGGTTGTGAAAGATCATTGCGTGAAAATAAAGTGTCCTTTTGTGTTGCAGATATAATGAACCGTGTTTCACAGTGGGAAACAAATTATCTTTAACCTTTAATCAACACAGTAAAAAGTTATAACTGATTTTTATATCTGAAATACAAACCTAAAGGAATAGTTCAGCCAAAAATAAAAATGGTCCTCCTCTATTGACCCTGTCATTAAAATGCTGTGGCATTTTGTGGCAGAAATCAAGCATTTTGTGTTCACAAAAGATGCCATTATCAAAATGTCAAAAATGCTATACATTTATTCAACAAAACTACATAATTACCACTGGCTGTCAAAGGCAATTGCTAGGTTTATTATAGAAAATGTCAAAATTTGAACTCAAAACCCTTGTAAACTAACCAAAACAGGTCAATTCAGGTAAATTAAAGCCTGAAACCTAAAACTTAATCTAAAACCATAAAAACATATTGCCTGAAAAATAAAAAATATATAATTTTTTTTACATTTTTTTGTTTAAAGTACTAAATAACTCTACTTAATTAAAAGACATTTAAAATAATAATAATTACAAACGACAAAAACACACAACAAAATAACTATTTTTAACTAAAATTAAAATAGAAATAGACTAAGAAAAACTATTAAGAAATATTAAGAAATATGGCCCATAATTCGACCTGACACAGGCTCACTGGTGCCCTTGAAGAAAGAAAAAAGCATGATAAAGAACCAGTCAAGCTGACCCGTGACTCCCCCTGCTGGCCAGCGCTAACATTACTCCTCAAACGCAACGGGTGCTACACTGCAAAACGGGTTTTCATCGTAAATAAAACGATTATTGTTATTGTATAGTACGTTATGCATCTTGATACAATTTCAGTATTTCTATTTCGAAATTTAAAGCTTCATTGTAATCATTTGCAAAACTGTCTAGCAATTTCTCAGTGAAAATAGTTAGTGAATGACAGTGGTGGAGCATCAGATTACTAGATTAGCAGCTAGACTTCTTCATACAGTGTTACGGTAGTCTTCAGTTTCGGTTTCACCAGATCATGTGTTCAACTCATCACGCAAAATGTAGGGGGCGGAGCTTCAGTTTCTAGAGAGCATTTGATTGGACAGAAAATCTGATGAGAAGCTGAAGTGCAGAGTGATGTCATCAAAATCATTGATCCATGTTGGCAGAAGTGAGAGACTAAGTTTTGAATGCTTATATCGTCTAAATGCGAATTTTGTCATTGTTTTGGAGCACTAGCTTTTGATAACAGTAAGGCTGACATATTCATACTAAAAAAGCAAAATCCAATTTTGATTTCATGGGCACTTTAACAGTGTATTTCTGATTCAAAAACATTTTATTACAGATGCATCACATTCACACACACCAAAATAAAAATATTCATACAGATATGCAATTAGGTGTAGACATACCGTGTATAGATAGATATAAAGTTTTTTTTCTCTATGCAGACTGAGAACAGGATAAAGAAATCTTCTCTAAAACCAAATATTTACAAAGCAAATATTGAATATTATACAGTGAGTTTTCTTTGTCGTGTGTTCAATACTTTCTGACTTCTAGAGCAGAAGGAATATGGAATTACATGTTTCAAAACCAAGAACACAAAAAAAATCAACGACTCAAAGTGCTTCATATTCATGCAAAAGCCAGTATTAAACATCTGAAACAACACAACGAAACCATGAAAAATGTCCCGTGTTCGGATCGAATTACAGGATGAATTAAGCTCACTATCAGTAGCCGAACGAGCGCTTTACGCCGCAACACCCACAGCAGATATCACGTTTGGTTGCTCTATATTTTGCACGTTCATATAAACCAAAAGCAACACAAAAGCAATTAAAACAGCAATTAGATTCTCCTCAAGTAAATGACTGAAGCACATAATCTCTCGGACGATCAAAAACACTCTACAAAACACTCGCACTCACGTTACCACGTCATTTTGTCTCAAGGTTACAGTACTAGAAAGTCTGAAAAAGAGTCATCACGTACACGCGCACAACTTATTTACAATATCATTGGCAAAATAACATCTCTCTCTGTGTCAATAATTCTTCTTCTCTCAGAATATTCATAAAAATGTCACGACAGCAGCCAGTTCTCCATTCAGAAGATGTTCAGATGAGGAAGACACACACGTCTAGTGTTCTAGTTCAATACTGAGTGTGTTCATATATACTGTGATGATGAAGAACAGCTTCAGGACTTATAGAGACCAAAAAAAGGGTACAAAATATGAGGTTCATCAGAGCTGAAGGTTGGCAAAACGATGTGTCAATATTGAAACGCAATTCCCTTAATTCACACGAACAATATTACAACACAATCAGAAAGATACAGTTCTTCACCCTGCTTCATCTACCAACCAAGAAGATCTCAATGAAGACAAAAGGAGAGGGAGAATACAAAGAGGAACAAGAGAGGGAAAGAAAGAAGGTGTTATATCTTTCTGGAGTCTTTAGTTTCGAAGAGCTTCATCCTCTCCTGTACGGTCAATCCCTCCTTCAAACTCTGTGAAAGAGAGAAAGAGAAATTTGATATTTTTCATACTTGGGGAATAAATCAATAAAAACAGTTACTTCATAAGAGAACGTATGTTTAATTTCAATCATGTGATCTTTAACCGCACATAAATGACACTTTAATGAGAAAAAACTCAACTTTGATATCATTGCCAGCTAAAGTGGTTATGGTAGATATGGAAAAATAATTTTTAAAAAGGCTGGTTGAAATGAACCATGAATACCGAACAATGACCAATAAAATGTTCAATTAAATTATATTCTCTGCTGTTTTTAATAGCCTGAATAAAACTGTAAAAAAAAAAAAGATTAAAATCTAATTATTAAAAATAAAATTCAATAATTTCATTAAATAAATTTCAATGGCCAACATAAATTACAGTTAAATTATATTGTCGGCTGTATTTAATAGACTGGATAAAACTGTAGTAAAAAAAATTCAATTAAATTATATTCTCTGCTGTTTTTAATAGCCTGAATAAAACTGTAAAAAAAAAAAAGATTAAAATCTAATTATTAAAAATAAAATTCAATAATTTCATTAAATAAATTTCAATGGCCAACATAAATTACAGTTAAATTATATTGTCGGCTGTATTTAATAGACTAGATAAAACTGTAAAAAAAATTATTATAATTTCATTAAAAAGGCAAAAAAATACTATTAACAAAAAAATAAATACACAAATGACTGTTAGATTGCAAAACTACAAAAGTAATTTTCTCTTCAGTTCTTTAAATTCAATGGCCAACATAATTTACAATTAAATCCTATTCTCTGCTGTACAAGTCTGTCATTTAAAAATGCAAATAAACAAGCCAACATATAAATAAATATATGAATACATAAATACATGTTACATTGCATTTCCTCATGTTTGCTCATGGTATTGCATCTTAAAAACACTGTTTATCTAAACCACTAAAAACTAACTAATTACAATCAACTTGATCATATTTTTCAGACATGGCAGTTCATTAGAATACTTCAGACTGAACTTTGACTCGTTTCTAAACTGGACTTCACAACCGTCCACCGTGGGAACATGCACATTCCTTGGCTTAAAGGGACATTCAGGGGTTTTTAAACCAAAGCCTGTTTCTATATCCACTTGTTTTCCTCTAAATGGTTTTAGATCTACCGTATTTCTTTGTTTTCACATCTGTCATTCACTGTCTGAGACTGTGGCTGCTTCATTGTGCAACACGACACCTGCAAAAGACGTTCACATGAACACTCTGTGCTATCTGAACACACACGGGTGTCCGCTTTCTGTATTATTACACTATTAGATCGCTCTCATTGCCTTCAAGAACTAAACGAGACACATGACACTTCATTTACTCGTGTCATTAAGTAATGAGGAATTTTTAGCAGGAATTTGAGATGTTATTTGGTGACAATTTACCCCAAGAGTACACAAAAATAGATATAAAACAAAAAAAAATTTGTTTCCTAAGAAAGTGAAAGAACAGGGTTTGAGGAAAAACAAATTTCCTTTAATGTCCCTTTAAGTTGTTTAATATATTCAGTGCTTATCACAGAGAAACATACAAGAAAAATGACAACACACACACACACACACACACACAAAAGTCTATTAAGACGGTAATTGTTTTACACATGTGGTGCTTAAAAATGTCAGTGTTTTTCTCAAACCATCTATCATTAGTGTGATATAATTCTCATGTGAATCAACACATTTGAGTTCACAAGTAACAGGCCGTTATCATCAGAGCCACAGCTGACTTTGTAGTGCACATGAGGAGCACATAAGAGCAAAAATGAACATGAATAACTTAAACTTAAGTCAAGGGGGATTATGCAAATGTGCATTTACAAACAATTACCATCCAAATAGGGATAAAGTCTACTTAAACCCCAAAAAACCCCCGCAAATCACACACACACACACCGCAAGAAAACTCTACATAAAAACAGTAAGAACACATAACATTCAGAAAAATGTGATCTGTGCTGGTTATGTGTCGACCTGCCAAACCGGGTTAGGTTGCAGGTGAGGTTCGAACGGTCGGGAAGGTGTAGGGCTCATGCAGGACTCAAAGGCTGTGTTCAAAATGGAATACTAGCTTACTAAATACTGCACAGTATACAATGTACACCACCTAGTGTTTAAAAAAAATATTATATGAAACGGTAGGTATTCCGTGCTAAAACTCTAGTATGTTACATTGGTAATTTCACATTGCATGTGAGTGGAATTTCATTATCTAATTTTGCATTTTAAAGTGCCCCTATTATAGCCTGGTCCTACCAGACTCGCGGACACGTTTCATTTGTACAGAGAGTCTGGCCCATAGATATCCATAATAAAGGCTAGATGTGTTACGGCGGAGTCTCTATCGTCATCACCGGCGGCCATCTTGTCACAGGCAAGCTTTCTGGCGGGCTCTGTGGTGCCTGATGTAAGATGAGTGATCAGCACGAACACAAATACTCTTATCTCGTTGAAATCTCGACGGATTTACAAACGTTTTGGTTTCTTACAAACGTCATCAACGTGGCTATAATTCTGGATGATTATTTATTGATACACTTATTATTCATAAGTATGCAGTGTCATAACTACATCTCTGACGTTTATAACAAACCAAACCGTTTGAAAATCGGTAGAAAATTGAGCAAGTTATGGTTATTTAAAAAGTACATGCAGCATTAAAACACAATGTTACGAGTGAGCGAGCTGCCTGTGACAAGATGGCCGCCAGGTGCGGACGTCGACCTCCATTGGCCAGCAGCGCGGACGAGACATCTAGCCTTTATTATGGATATCTATGGTCTGGCCACTCTCCATTGACAAGCTTTAACTTCCTTGAAGACGGGAACTCTGTTGAAGTTTAAAACTATTGGATCTGCCTGAGTCACTCTGGATCTGCCATAACCAATCGCTAATGTTTGGTCGTGACGCATGTCTACAACTCAAACTAGCGCACCTCAACGTCATCGTTCTCAGCCACTCCCTCTGTTCGCTGATTGGACCGGTAAAAAATTGATCGGAGAAAACCCAAGAATATACAGCAAACCCAGACGTAGTACTGAAGGAAAATGAAAATTGATGCTACCCTTATTATGCTTCTTCTGACATTACCTTTCATGTAGTGTGACTGTGTAATATAGCAGTTTGTGAATGTAAGTTTCAAAGATCAAAGACAATTGAAGGATTATAGTCTCTTGAAAACAAAAAGTGATTCTGAACTGCCTGAAGCGAGTCGTCAGTAATTCCAGTCTCTCTTCCTGCTCGAACCAATGTATGTTTGTAACTAATTTGCATAATGCCAGCCTGTGGTCTTCATTGGCTGCTGGTGGACGTCTACTTTGCCCCGGCCTCAAACACTGTAGCTATAGTTGAGAGCGGAAGAGTTTGGTTTGTGTTGTCGACATGTTGAGAAGACGCTGTTTTCTGCGCTACAAAAGCAAATCCACTTTGATGCACTTGCACAGGATGAGACTCGCGCTGGAATCGAAACGGTAAAACGGACGCCATTGTTACGGTTCATTTCACCGTGTATCAATTGCTAAGGATGAGCTGAAATTCAGATATGGTAATGGGTGTTTGGTTTCCTACACTTGCTGTAAGCGGTCAACCAATCACAACAGACTGGGCCATTTGACCAATCAGAGCAGAGCAGCTCTCAGAAAGGAGGAGTTTAGAGAGAATGAATCCTTTATTGAACCGTTTCAGACACTGTGGGAAAAGAGCTGATGCTGCAATGTATATAATGAGAAAATACATTTTTGACCTTGTAAACCTATTGTAGGAGAATCCGAAAGAAAATTAGGAAATAGCATAATAGGAGCACTTTAATTAAACATTGTGTAAATATGTCAAATAAGAGTAATGGCAGTAATGCTTTCGTTTAATTCCTCACACTGGATATGGAAGTGGGACGCTTTGCATTTTTGTGGGATACATTATTCTGTGCAATATGCTCCATATTCCATGCTAACATAGCCGTACTCTCACAAGAGCGATGAATGCTTCACCTGTTGCACCTGATGGGGTCACAGCGGTCAGCTACCCCCGACAAACCCCTCACTCTCTGCCTGACAGGGCAACGTACACATGTGAGGACACACACACACACACACACACACACACACACACACACACACACACACACACACGTGTACACTGTTTCATACTTCATACACATAAATACTAGCCCTGTCACTTAGAAATAAGATTAACAAATTAACGTAAATTCTGTATAGCTGTATCAGAATTGTGAGATCAAAATTTGCAATGACATTTTTCATTCCGTAGCGGAAACAAGCTTCCATAATTATGTAACATTTACTATAAAAAACTGAAAAAATAAATCAATATTGCAGAATTTTGTCTGCCACTGACAGATTCACAAACTCTAATGTAAAATGGATTGTAGTGGATCATTGACTAAAAATAAACTATATATTGACTTTTTGTATAGTATAGTCTATATCAATTTTTGTGACAGCACATAAACACAAACAACAAATTTCCACATAAATGTACAGGAATATCAATACATTCAGAGTTGTCAATGGCTGACAAGAAACTTTATGACACAGACAGACACACACACTCTGAACTCTCACCTTTGACCTGACCCCACGCATCTGTCTGGATTTTTCTTTCTTCAGGAAATCTGGGTTACTCTTTGACTTCATAATGTCTGTATCGAACACAAATACACTTCAGCTCATACATTTACACAGACAGACACAGTAAAATGTTTAGTGTTTGTTCACACTCTTTTTGTAATAATTTGGCCGGAGTTTGGGAATGATCTGAGACGATCTAATATGAAATCCTCTGCATCAGCCAAAAACTGACATTAACACTATTTTGTATCAGTAACAAACATACTGATTTAAATCTACATTTCTGTTTTCAAATATTTTAGGTGCATTTTGAGTAAGTAAAGTAAAAAAGTAAAGTAAAAATTTAGTAAATGATTATAATACTTTTTTTATACATTTAAAAAAATATATATAATACAAAATAATATATCATTGTTTAAGTTCAGTGTATACGTGCACTTCTTAAAGGGATACTTCACCTCTGGAAAGATGAATGTGTATTTAAAATGGGTCATTTATGTAGAACAAATGTGAAATTATTTTTGAATTTGGAGTTTCTAGACTGAGAAAAGCCAGAAAATGTATTTTTGGCTTATGTGGATGAAAGACAACAACTCCCAGAATGCACTTGCTTCGCTGCCCTAGGAGGCCACGCCTACCGGAAACAGAGCGCAGTAGTTAAACAACAAGTCTAGGCTACTAGTGAGTCTCCGTGATGAGTCTGCCTGGGATTTCGAGTTCGCCCAAAATGTCCGGGATTCGGCTTTTGCGTTCTACAGTCGCCATTCATCATGTTTACTGTGGCGAGCAGGACGAGTGAGGGCCGCGGGAGAACGGCGCGAGGCCGGTGGCGTGATTACCGATGAGCGACACCTGTGAGACGAGCGAGCACCGGTCTCGTATCTCTTACGGAGGAGCGGGAATTTTCTTAGCAATGTTAAAACGCACATCAACCGATCACTTGTTTAGCGTTCATGTAAACACTACATTCAGATTCACCAATCGGAGTGCATTTAGTTAGATTGAAACAAAAGGTGTGCATGTAAACAATGAATGGCGACTGCAGAAAGCAAAAGCTGAATCCAGCACATTTTGTACGATCTCGACGGCCGGACATGTCCGGGAAAAAGAGGATGGTAACCCCGATTACTCAGCTTTCTCCACAGAACAAGAGCCTGCTAGCTTAGCTTAGCTTCCAAAAAAAGATGTCTGACTATGTGTACACTCTGTGAGTGAGATCCCACCCTCTATGGGCGGGTTGGGAACATGCGGGACAGCCCCTACTACTGACTGTAGTCTTTAGCCTCTGGCCAAAAAATCCTAAGATGACGCAAAATGACGATTTTTGCGTCATCGGAGGATTTTTTCCAGACAAAAAATACATAAATCTCTCGTCTCAGGGGGATATGAGGGTGGAAAGCACGGTAATTCGAAAATACTACAGGTTTTCTACTAATACAAAGCTTAATGCTAAATCCTGAAGTATCCCTTTAATTGCTATAATTAAACTGAAAATTTTAAATTAATTAATCTTTAGTTATGAATATCAGCATCAGTCACTGAAAAATCTATATGGGTTTATTACTAGTACTTCTATGATGCTTTTTTGTCCTTCAAATAATTTTCCTATGCTGCACTACGGAAGAAACCAAATCATGTGGATTTGAAACGCCATGAAGCTGAGCAAATGTTGACAGAGTTGCCATTTTTGTGTTAACTAATCCTTAAAATGTCTCACCGTATCCAGCAGTAACGCCACTTCCTTCAGCGTCTAATTCCCCAAGAGCTTCGGTAGCAGCCAAAAGTTTCTCCCTCAGCTTGTTAATGTCACAGTCAGCTTTAGCCTTCACGATACTCAGCTCCGTGTAAATGTCCTTGTACTTATCTGAGGCATACTTCTTATCCTGCAACACATATGACCGACACATCAGAACGCGCTAGCATGTGTTCGGAGAGCTGTTAAAGAGAAACACATGTACTGAGAAACACAACTCATGTGTGTGTGTGTGCGTATTACTCGAAGTGCGGTGTGCAGCTCGTCTTTGAGAGAGTTTATTTCCTGTTTGAGGTACTGGATCTCTGACTCCTTCACTCGCAGCAAAACCTGCAGCCAAACAACATTTAGATAATGTGCATGACACCTTTAATTGATTGATTGAGAATTCAGATGACAGAGTTTGGGCTGTACCTCCAGTTCATAGATGTCTTTGCCTTGAGTCAGAGAGGAAGTCAATTTGTCTCCACTGATGCAGGAGTGCATTCTGGTGATCTCCTCATTCAGACGATGATTTAGTTCCTGTAACACACACACACACACAAGTTTATATCATGGTGGGGAACTATTGACCTCGCAAGTGAATACAGGCAAAAATGTGGCCAGGGTAAGGTTATTTGGCTTTTTTATAACATGTTTTAGATAAATGGGGGGAAAAAACACACATCCAAACTACACTTAAGGGTTTTTATTTTATCACACTTTATTTGATCTATTTTGTTGTAGATTTCAATTACAATACATATCTTTGAAGGCCGTTTTCTCAAAATGAGTTTTATTCAGAAATAAGATTTTTGAGTCAAAATGAGTCAGAAATCTCCACTTCTATTTTCTGAAGGGTTTTACAGAGGGGTTTGTTCATATATCATTTGCCTTATTTTATACATTTCATTCATAAAAACAGGATTTTTTTTCCTGGCTGATATTTTCTGATTTAAGAAGTGATAAATAGAGATATCCAAAATTTACATTTATAGACAAAATGAGACCCAGCTTCATCCAACGTTTCTAAAAATGTATGCAAATTATTGGATATTTAATTAGATAATGCCTCATTTGCATTATTAAACATGACATTTTAGAACTTGAAATACAAAAAAATGTCATTATAAAAAGTATGGTGATTTCTATTAGTTATAATTTGTATCCTATTCGCATGGGTTGTCTTGCCATAAATAAAGATTATTTATAATTTACAAACCTTAAAAACAATTATTCAAATAAATTTTATTAATTGTTTATAAGAGAGTTTAGTCTCTTTATCAGGCTGTTTTAAGAAAGTTGTGGTTGACCTGGTTGTGTATATGCAGTTTCTGGTTCTCTCGCTGGCACTGCCCCAGCGCCTGTCTCTCTGCTTCCAGCGCTTGAGCCAAATGTGCGTTTTCCAAACACTTCTGAGAATATTGCTCAGACAAAACCTCCAGTTCGCGATGGATAGACTGCAACTCCTCTCTACATGGACACAATGAAAATAAACACACATCAAAACTTTCAAAAATTCGCTTGGTTAAAAGCATTAATAAATAAATGTAAATCTTCTTAAGCCTGGTTCACACGGCAGGATAATTAGGCCGATTTTAGCCCCGATTTAACCCCTTCCGACAATCATAAGGATGCTGCGATTATCGTAAAATAATCTGATCAGATATGGTAAATATTCCTGCCGTGTGTGGTGTCTTAAGACTGCTCTGGTCTGCTCGGAAGGACGTCGGGACCGCTCAGATCTCAAATCGGGGATATCCAACATGTTGGATTTTTTTGGGCCGATTTCTCCTCGTGTGTGGTGTCCCCCTGGGACAAACGAGCACGCAGCCTGTGGACTGTGGCATGTAGCCAATCAGAAAGCGAGGTGACGAGGCGCAGAGGAAGCACCGGGAAACAAAATCAAAACAGCCGGCGGCATGGCGCACCAGAAAGTCCGGTGGACGTCGGAGATTCTTTGACCATAGCCTTTTCTTTTGATAACGTGTTTTTTCCGGTTAAAAACAAACTGCAAACTATCGCCACAGCATCCTCTTCGCCCGCCATGATTGTTTATCTCGAGGGATTTTGCGAGTCTGACCTGGGAATGCTCGGGAGTCAAATCGGTTTGTGTGTGATGTGTTGATTTTGCCGTGTGGCAGCGCACCACACACTGTACGACCAAAACTGTTAGAGCCGTGATTTTTTATCGCTGTGTGTGGGGTCTCTCAGGTTTGGAAAATCGTCCCATGTGAACCAGGCTTTAGTGACAACGGTAAACCAAAACCAGAGTGATTTGTGCAGATATAGTGATGTTTGGTGTCTTACTCGTACTGTCTGCGCAGCTCCTGGATGTCTGCGCTCCCACTGCTCATCTGCGACCGTTGCGTTTTCTCCAGTTCTTCGCGATGAGCATTTTTCATGGCCTCAATCGCTGCGCACAAAACAATCTACTGTGATGCTTCAACTCAAACTGGAAGTAATTCATTGTCAATGAAAAATTGGTGTGTATTTTATATAGTGGGGCTTTTATTACCAGCAATAGTGGCATTTGTTTCCTCATCCAACAGTCTTTCTTTCTCCTCTAGAAGTTTCCGGATCTCCCGCTGATGCTGTCTCTGAATGTCCTCTATCACCTTCTGATGCGTCTCCTCCATTGCAACAAATCCACGCTCGCATGTTGCCTGAGTTCCACAAACAACATCAGATCACAAACACCAAACACCATCTATCTACCCTAGCAGGCTCTCTACTAGGGCTGGGTATCTATTGTCTTTATGGTCTTGGTGCATTTTTCTTGGTACACCATCTTGGTGGCTTGATGGTGGATAGAACGTTTATAAAATGTACTCAGCAAAGCCCATTTTTCATGCATTTGGCACATTAATGGTCAATTTTGGAGTCTTTAAAGAATTTTGCAATGCATTATTTGACAAGGCATACATTAAATGATCAGTCTTGGGATTTTAAGAATCAATATAAACAAATTGCAGATGAAAAGCTTAATCAGAAAACCAATCTTTACCCAGCCCTACTATCTACAGGGCTACTGAAGCAAACAGAAGTTACAAAGAGTGTTGGGTGGCATCAAAGGGGATGGCTGCATTCATCTTGTTCATCATTTAAACAGTTGCTCTTGTAATGAGAAATGACAGATAGCACAGAGGAATGAAAGCAAATCAGCATGATTGATTGACTAGTGCGAATTCATGCAATCACACTAACACAGTAGACAACAATGCTAACACTAAAAACACAAGGTGTTTTGAACACAGTAAAAGCACGTTTGAGAACAGTAAAAGTAAAGAGTAATTTGTGATAGGTGTCAATCATGGTCATTGTGTGTGCTCAAAACTCCCAGTGGAGCTAATGTGCACTACAGCATTGAAAAAAAGGAAAGCATCATGGTTATGAGGCTACAGGGTTGCAGTTATTTTCAAAAATCCAAGAGGCCATAAATCATAAATGATATATATATATATATATATATATATAATACATAACTGTGTTGATTTGTAATTTTGAAATGTGTACTGTTTCTAAAACTTGTATAAATACATGCAATAAGCAATATTCCCAAAACGATTATCAGCTAAAACCACTGCAACCCAAATTAACAACAACAAACTAAAAACATGGCGCCATGGCGGTGGATGGGTGCGACATTAAATTTGAAAGGTGAAAGGTTAAACCTTGAGGCTGTCCAAGTCTCGTTGGTACTTCTCCCTCAGGCTGGTCAGATCTCCATCCAGTGGTTTCTGTTCCAGCTCCTCTCTCATGCGGCTCAACTGCATTTCCAGCTCCCGGACTCGGAGCAAGGACTCTGAATCCCTGCATGTTACCTGATCAGATCCATCCCCTTCCTCCATGGGACATACGTCAACCTCAGCTTTGTTCTCCACTTTCTCGTTCCTCTCCTCCAATGAGCAGATGGTCTGGCTGTAGCATTCGTGTAGCTTGTGGAGCTCCTCTCTGTTGGTGTGTTCTAGTTCCTGGACCTTACTCTGAAAATCCTGCTCAAGTTTTCGGATGTGCTCTTTGTGCCTCAGATCAGCATCTTCCATTTCTAGCAGCAGGGTCTCCAGCCTGTGTTGGTTGTTTGAGGCACGCTCCATTAAGTCGAGCTCTCTGGTTATCTGGTCCTGCTTGGCCCTTCCCATCTCTTCTGCATGCCTGCTCTTCAGCTCCTCTTTCTCCTTATGAAACTCCTCTTCCAACTGGTTTAAGTTCTGCCGTTGCTCCTGCAGCTCCCTGAGCTTATAGGATAGTTCCCCTCGAAGCATGTCATTCTCCTCCTGCAAGGAACTTATAGTGTCAGTGAAGCTCAGATGCTCTTTCTCTACGCAGCTCTGGTAGTGCCTTTGGATGGCTGCAACACTCTCAGCGTGTTCTTGGACGAGCACTGCCATGTTGCGGCTAGTCTCCTGGCAAAGAGAAAGTTCCCTAGTGTGACCTGCTCGCAACCTGCAAGCAACATATGTGACCTGCACCTGCATCAAGGCCTCTCGCATGCAAACCGAGCTGGAGTCGCTGCGCCATGAGCTCATTTGGATGGCATTCGCAAGTCCGGAAAGTGAATTTGTTTCCCCTTCCTCGCAGACCCTCTCAATTTCCTGAGAGAGATTACGAAGGGCTTTTGCTTGCTTCTTGAGCTCAGCAATGAGATTTTCCCAGCCTGTTTGCAGATGTGATTCTGATTCTGCGCTATGGGATAGTGTGCCGATGGCTAAGTGTCTGCGGACAATCTCTGCTGCTAAACTTTGAGCTTCCTCCATCTCAATCTGCTCCATGTAGGGAGCAAGTTCAGGAGGAGAGACATCAGCAAGATGATCAGTACTGCTTTGGGGCATACTCTCAATTTGAGCATGCTTTGACGCACTAACAGCATCTTTCAGAGCCATGTCTCTTTGTTTTAAAGTTTCATTTGCTTGGACCAAGTCCTTTTGAAGCTCATCAAATTTTTCCTGAAAATTCATTGTAAGATTCTGAAGTGAATAGGCAAGCTCGGCACTAATGCAGGCATTCTTGATGACATCCTGTGAAAAAGCACTATTTGCTAGTTTACCCATCTCAAGCTTGTCCACCTCTGCCAAGAACATGGTCTCCAGCATAAGTTTTCTCGTAAGTATATCAGCATAAACAATTGAGAGACAGCCATCGCAGTCCTTCTTGATGTTTTCAGCATCCTTGTGAATGGAGTTTAGGGCCGACATAATATCAGAGTTCAGGTCCTGCAGAGAGAACCCCATCCTCTCCAGAACTTCAGCCTCAAAGGATAATGTTCTGGCAAACTGTTTTATACTTTCCTTCCTTGATTGCACATCTGCTGCATCAAAGCTCTGGCACGACTCATAGAATGTGCTGCCCTTCCTCAGGTACGTGGTGGCACAAACCAGCAGTTTCTCTACTTCTGCAAGGGTACAAATGAGAGATTCAGTAGAACTGGTCTCTTTCTGATTGCTAAGAATTTCTCTGACTTTTTCTGTGCAAGACTCTACCAGTGCCAATGCCTTCTCATTTTCATCAGTGTCTTGCTCACCAAAAGTCTTGAGGGATTTCTGACTGGATTCATCCATTGGTAATTCATCACAGGTTTTAGTCGTGCAGTCCTCCATGGTTGCTCTGGTGCTCAGATGTTCCTGCATCGCTGAAAGATCAGGCTGTTCCCGTATCTTTTCAGTGAGGTGTCTGAGCTTCTCCTCTGTGGCCAATAGTTTGGTTTCCAGAGCATGTATAATGGAGATGAACTTCTCTGGATCTCTGCACTGCTGGAATGAACCATCACTGGCTACACTGATATCTTGGGTCAGGCTCAGGTCATGCATGTGGTCTAGGCTCAGATCTTGTGTCAGATCCAAAGACGTGTTTTCCATTTGAAATTTGTCTGCTCCCTGGGAACGCTGATAGGAATGGCACTGGATGGTGGAAAAGCGAATCCTCTGCCGCTTTACCAAGGACATTTCGGTCTCTGAGCTACTTCTTGCAATAGGAAGTTGATAGAGACTTGAGGATGAGGAAACATCATGTTGCATCTCTTTCAAACCCTCAAGCATGTCTTCCTGGGAGCGGCAACGTCGAATTCGGAGATCTGCGTATCCAAGTCGCAGGGCATTGAGGTGTTCCTCCAGCTCAGCTATTCGATCCTCTGCAACCACCAGTTTTGCCTGTAGCTCCTGTTCTGCTCTTCGGGACTCTACCAGTCCTGGATAGTCATGCTCCATTTTAGAAAGAAGTTCCTCTTTTTGCTGCAAGCAAACTTCTGTTTCTTCTAGACTACTGCCTAAGGCAGCCATCTTTATTAGGGCCTCGCTCAAGTCCTGCTCCTTCTGTCTGATTAGCTGCTCATACATTTGCTTTGTCTGCTTTACCTCCTCTTCCTTCTCTTGTAGCACTTGACTTATCCTAGCAAATTCTTCCGAGACACGCTCGTACGAGCTCTCAAGGAAGTGATAGTCTGTTTCCACCGTCGTTAAACATGCCTGTTGCTTTCCAACCTCTCGGTCGGCCTCGGAAATCTGATTGAGGAGTTCTTGACAGCGGCAAGTAAGCTGGTCACGTTCCTCCTCCAGCCTCATCACACTCTCCCGCAACATTTCCACCATATCCGTCTGCACCTCCAACTCCTGCTGAAGACGATGTACTTCATCCCTGAGTCCCATAGTTTGCATCCCACCACTCCCTCTCAGCAGCGCCTCCACTTGTTCTTGTGCCTCTTGCAGTTGCTCTTCTACTTCACGCCGCCTCTCTTCGGATTCTGACAACCTCCAGGTCAGTCCCTGTCGCTCCCGCTCATGTTTCTCCTCCAGGCTCCGCTGCTCTTTTCTCTCCCGCTCCTCTCTCATAGTCTGAGCTTCCTCAATGGAAATCAGACGCCCAGTGGCCTCAGAGAGTCTCTCCTGTAACCTCTGCACGTCTTTGTGCTGGTCTTTCTGCAAAGCTTGCTGCTGTTCAAGCTGCCTCAACTCCTGGCTCTTCTCTAGCAAACTGGCTTCAACTTGACGTAGACGTTCCTCGCTCTCTCGCAGCTGTGACCGCAACGTCACCTCATTTCGGACCCATTCTTCCTCACGTTCTTGACAGCGAACCCGTTCAATTTTCAGCTCGCTACGCATTCGTGCCACAGCCTGCTCGCTCACGACAATCTCCGCCATGGCAGCCGTTAGCTTTTCCTCCAAGGCCTCGATCTCTGCCTCATGGTGTCCTATGATATCTTTTGCTTCGCTGTAGCTACGCCTCAAGCTGCCAACTTGTTGACTGGACTTATCTTGCTTCCGACGCTGGGAATCCAGCTCGGACTTTAGATCCTGGTTCAGTTTGCTGAGGCGCTGCCATGGTGCTCGGTGAACAGGGGTAGACACTGCATCAGACGAAGGCTTTGCAGTGGTTGTGTCACTCTTTAAGAGATTAAGAGGAAAGTACAATTAGTAACAGGAAGTCTTCTCTTTTATGGCCACATACATGATGCTCAACGTCTTCTAGGCTGTGGCTGGGAACCCAGGAACGTTTGGAGTTCAATTTCCGAAGCTACATACTTACTCAAGCTTTCCACTGTGCTTTTTCAAGATAACATCAAAGATGGAGAAAATGGTGCTCAACAATGAGGGAAAATGTGAATAACACAATTAAAAAGGGAAATAAATGAACTAAAGACGCTGTGGAACTACAGAATGCAACTATGAAATGCAACTGTATCTTTGTGGATAATATAAATGACACTGTACAGAAAAAAATACAAGAGGAAACTTAAGAGATAAAGGAAGAAATGGATGAAGTAACACTACACCAGATTATAATACAGCAACTAAAGGAAAATGAAGAACAGAGGAATGATAACACCATGCAAATTATGCAAAGGATGACAAGAGATGAATGAGACAACAACAAACAAAAAATAGAAAAGCACAGCTGAAAGCTTGCCAGATGTTCACATTTGTTATCTTCAGAAAACTTGTAGTTTGGTTACAAGAGTTTTAACCAAAACCCAGTCAGAGCCCAGGGAAAGAAAGACATTGCAGATCAGTTAGTACCACTCATGCTGAGAGTTTCATTAACACCCAAAATTATATTAGTATTGAAATCAAAAAAGAAAGAGCCACAAAATCTACAGAAGATTTTGATTTCTGTATCTTTTCTGGCTAGGTTCGGATACCTGGAGTACATATCCTTCCCGGGCGTTCTGCTCTCTCCCACGCGCATCCTGAAGTTGCTCCTGTAAGACACTGTTCTGCTGCTGGAGTCTAGCTAGCTCCCTTTGTGCCTGACCTAACTGTGAACATCAGCGTACATCAGTGGAAAACAATCAGATTTGAATGAGGAAATTACACAATGTTCAGAACTGATCTGAATGCAATCAAAAAACCTAAGTAGATGGCATAAGCACACAAGTAGTCGGCACCTGCACATACTCATCATTTCATGATGGAAAATTAGGCAAGAAATAAATACTGATGGTTCTTACCTCCTTTTCCAGTACGGTGGTCATCTCTTGTGGAATGACTCTTTCTCCAACATGTGTATTTGAGGTGTTAGGGGAGCTGCCAGCGATCGGTACCTGCTTTTCCTCTCTGAGGGGCGTTGTTTCAACCTGCTGCCACCTCTGCTCAATTTCCACCTGGACATTAGAGTTTCTGCGGGCCACTCGGTGACCATCAACCTCCTGCATGTCCCTGAGTTGGTCCACATCCATTTTTCCTTGTTCCTGTGGCACTTTATGGGGAAGCTTTGACGAGAGCTCTGACGCATTGACTGCACCTGCTGTCGGTGTGGTCTGATGGTGGTGCATATATTCCTGCACCACTTCTTCATCTCGCTGTAGCAACTTGTCAGTATGGCTGGTGGTAGTAATGGAGGACGACGTCTGATGAGAGGAGGTGCTAGAGATGGGAGAGGAGGCAGTAGAGGAGGTGGAGGAGGGTGAAGATGAGATAGTGACTGAAGTGTCTGCCCTCTTCATTGTGGGTTGTCCGTTCTCGTTTTCTTGTCCTGGGCGGAACTCGGACCAGTCAAATGTTTTAGAGCGTCCCTCTCGCTTGTTGACTCGACTCTTTTGCTCGGGAGGAGGCGCAGAGTCTGTTATGACCTCGTGTGACTTTTTAGCTTCAACTACAGAGCTGTTCGAGAGTTGCGAAGAGTTAGGAGGGGGTTGGATGAAGTTTTGCTCCACATTTGATCTGGTTCGCTCTTCTGGAAGGGAACTGTGACAAGAGAAGATACTGAATCAATACACTATACAGTATAAGTTTGAATTATTATTGGTGCTTGCTAAGGTAAGCATCACTGCCACTCCCTAAATATTACTTTTTTCACAAAGAACTGTTGCATATGGCATTGTGGGTCAATCTGAATGGTTACCAAAAACACGCAGAATTATTCCCTAATTGTGGACATAACTATAGAGGGTATGCATTGACGTCACTTTCCCGCCAGAACACGTCCCCTCAGTCGGACTGAGTGGCAAAAGAGTTGCTGTGTGACTGGATTTAATAGTTTAAATGAAAGGTTGGACTTGATATAGTGTTCCTTACAACTTACCAAAAATCCAGTGATCCATGGATATTGAAACGCAGCCAGGAATCATGGTTCCTGACATTTACAGTATATGTGCCTGATTTCGACGCCGGGGAAATACATAAAGCAAATTTGCCTGTGAATGCTTTATATAAATACAATATAGGTAGGTCTAAATCCAGTGATCACTTATATCAATGTTATATATATATATCATCATATAGTTCAGCCCTAAAACTTTTTTGTCAGTGTTTTTTTTTTTTTAAAACATCCAATTATGCAGAATATACGATGGTAAATATTTAATTGATGAGTTGTCAATACAATACAGTATATAACAATACAATATTTAGGGTATGATTTTACCCCAAAATTCAGCATATTGACAAAATGATAACTGCAAATCCGCCTTTCGCTGCCTGGAGTCCAGTTGTTTCTATGAATTGCAGTGATCCATTTGCTTCTCTTTTCTGTAGCTTTCAGTAGTCTGTAAAAATAAATCTCAGATTTCTTGTCAAATCTGTTTGTACAGTCAATCTGTCAATCAAAGCTCTTTTCCATTTTAGATGCGTTTTGTGTGTTCTTCGTGGCATTCACGCTGAAAACCAATGCTGCCACTCAGTCTTTTTGCCACTCAGTGGGCGTAACCGCAGTCACTCTGGCCGATGGTGATGTCAAACGCATACCCTCTATACCAAGATGAAAACGTGTTGTGAAACATGCAGTGTTAACAAAGAGACTACAGCTGTCTAAAAAAAAAAACACACACACACCCAAACCACTGAAGACAGGATGGTTTGATTAATGGTTAGTAGGGTGAGGAAAACCATCTGATCACTGCATGGCATTCAACCACTGTCAAACATGTCGGTAAACACTCATGTGTGTCTGTGCACGCTGCAGGGTGTGTTCTAAAAGTGGGCACTGATGCAATGCTATTTTTCATCTCCTTCAAAGAACGAGGTGATGTAACATCACAACAAGAAATAGGGAGACTGACGAAGTGTAAACATAAATTGTGCTGTACCTGCCATCCTGTTTACCAGTATCTTCAACAAAAACTGTCAATAGATGAAACTTCAAATTTTGAATGAGCTGAAATATGCTTGTAAATATATTTAAGTTTTAAAAATATTTTCCTTTCAAAAATCTATTACATTTAGTTTTAATGCATAAAATTAATTATTTTAAGAAAAAATATGTTATATATATGTTAGGAATATATATAATATATATATATATATATATGTTATTTAATTATTGGATATTTTTAACAGGCCTAAAATAAGAATAAGTATCATCCAATAATTGAAACCTGATGATTAAATTCTGTATTTTGATGACTTTTAGCTTTGGTAAATATCCCATATGGATTACATTTATAATTAAATTAGCTGTTTAGGTCGTTACCAATGCCAGTTCTGTTGCATGTCTACCTAATTTCTACCTAATTTCGAACACCACCATGCCCTAACCAATCATGTTTTTTTCTAATGTGTGTCTTTATATGACTTTATTTTAAGTTGTCTGTCCATAATGAAAAGGTTTAATTTAGGTCCATCCAATGTGAAGCTGACAAAATGTCCTTCGGTCAGACAGGATTTCACACGTATCACTTTATCATGTTGCGACTGGTTAACGTGGTGTCAAACAGCTGGAATTTAAATAAATGTAATGCTGTTAAACATAATTAATGCATTTCAAAATTAAAAGCTCAGACAAAAACAACACCACTATGATAAATAATCTGGCCACACACACACACACAGCAGCGATGTAACACTCCAAATGAACTAAAGATACATTTTTGAAGGCGCTTCAATTTCATTTATCTCTTTCCATTCTGTTTGTAATAAAATTAAGTGTACTAAATAAACATGTTAAATTAACAGCCCCATTATAAACATAGCAAACAGGCAAACGACAGAAGCAAAAAGGGAACAGGAATTACTAACATAAGCGATAGAAGCCAGAACATGACGAAACACATCGCTAAACTCAGCTGACACGACAGCGGCCACAAATACACACACAGGTTTGAATAAGAACAGGAGATGCCAACCTGGGCATAAGAACTGAAAGTTTCAGAGACACATTTTTCCTGTGGTCAGATAAACGGAGCAGGAAAAACACAAGAAAATAAATTATACAGGTAAGTTAGGAACAGAAGAAAACAAAAAAAATAAAAAATAAAAACAGTTTTTGAGGAAATCTCAAGAGGAAAAATGGAAGTTGACAACTTTCCAAAGAAAAGCTAATGTGCTCAAATGCTTTCCGGAAAGCATGTACTGTTTATATAAGGGTGTGTATCTTTAAAGGTAAAGTTTGTAATTTCTGCATTAATAGCTGCACCAAACAGAACTGTCTGCCGAACTCACAGCATTGGTTGAGCCAGTGTTGTTACTCCAGGCCCAGGAGAACAGAATGAGAAAACAATTGTTGCCACTAGAGGTGCAGAAATGACACACTTCACCTTTATAGTAGAGATTTTCCTAATTAAAGGGATAGTTCACCCCAAAAATAAAAATTCTGTCAGTAATTACTCTCCCTCATGTTGTTCCAACCCCGTAAGACTTTCGTTCATCTTCGGAACACAAATTAAGATATTTCTGATTAAATCTGAGAGCCGTCTCACTCCTCCATAGGCTTCTTAAGGGATCGAAACTGGCCGGGCCAAAAGTTATTAAAGACATCGTTAAAATAGTCCGAATGACTACAGTGGCTCAACCTTAAGTTTATCAAGCGACGAGAATACTTTTTGTGCGCAAAAAAAATAAAAATAAATAACGACTATTCAATTATTCATTTCCTTCTCTGTTGGCCTCGAGATTTCACGTAGTGTAACAGCGCAGCGCTTCTGTGTTGTACGTCACACACACACACACACACACATGACCAGCGTCGGCCAATAGTGAGCCTGCATGTGACGTACAACACAGAAGCGCTGTGCTGTTACACTACGTGAAATCCCGAGGCCCACAGAGAAGGAAATGAATAGTTGAATAAAGTCGTTATTTTTGTTTGTTTTTTTGCGCACAAAAAGTATTCTCGTCGCTTGATAAACTTAAGATTGAGCCACTGTAGTCACTCGGACTATTTTAACGATGTCTTTAATAACTTTTGGGCCGGCCAGTTTCGATCCCTTAAGAAGCCTATGGACTAGTATGGAGGAGTGATCCAGCTCTCAGATTTAATCAGAAATATCTTAATTTGTGTTCCGAAGATGAACGAAGATGTCTTACGGGGTTGGAACAACATGAGGGAGAGTAATTACTGTCAGAATTTTTATTTTTGGGTGAACTGACGCTTTAAGTTACAGAGGGAAGTCTAATTTGTAAATGTATGATGTTCTTTCTCCATACTTTTCAAACTAAACATGATGTTGAAGCTCACCGTGTGACATCAGGAGCGACGGTGGGCCGCATGTTCTTCAGAATGGCCTGGATCCAGTTTCTACGTATCCCAGAGGTCATGGCAGACAGTGTGAATGCCCCTTCTTTACTCTGAGAGGAAGACAAGGACACTGAGTGATCAGATGCATGACCGATGCACTAAAAGAGACTTGGTTTTTCTGTTCACTTCTGACATTGCGGTTCAATTCGACCACAAGCGCCACAGAATATATTGTAAATGAGTTTCTATAACTTTTACAAGACTTTTCCAGTCATGATTACTGAACGACTGTTATTTAAAAAAGTTAACAAGTGTACTTAAAAAATAAATAATTCAAAGGTTATCTTGTACTATTTTTTTTACCACTCTCAAACAATTAAGATTCTCTTGATTATTTTTTCAGCTCTTAATATTTTAGATCCAATTAAATATAATAAAATGTAAATTATTACATTTATATTATAATATTAAATATAACAATATAATAAATAAATATAAATATTTCAGAGCTGAGCATACCTATAAAAATTATATTAATTATAGAAATTATTATCTCAGCAAATATGTATTTTTATAGGCCTGGATATAATAATTTTAAAATTCCTTGATATTTCCATTTTGCCACGACTGTGGGAACCTTGCAAGTCCAGCATATTTCTCTCAGTAACAAGAGTATATCACAAGAAATGGTCCAATAACATACTGGAATAAAAGATTATGATATACATCTAGTGAAAACTAGAATCTGACAGATCCGACGGCAAGAGGAGTTTAAGATGGGAGTTTAGTATTACGTTAATTTATCCGTGGCATTCTCTATCCAAGGCATAAAGATAGCAGGCTGAAGTTATATTTACAGTTGTTATTCATTTCTTGACACTGACGCCCCGCTGTTCGTCTGTACACAGAGACGGCCAACGCTTTCTGCTATATCTGACATCTCTAAAATAACTTCAAAAACAGCACCAAGGAACCTAGTCATTCGCCACCTAGACGAACAACACAATATCAAGTGCATCTCAACAGCTTTATTAATAAAACACAGTAGCATGTAAATTAAACATTTATAAATTAAAACTTTATCATTATATTTTTACTTTTTCTGAAGTCTTCTGCCCATTTTTGCATCCACCAGATGAAATTGCTGATTTGCCAATTAAAAGGTCTATCCGGAAAAACCTTACAACTTTGATATTAAAAACAAATATTTGATATTAAAAACAATCTATTTGCCCTTTAGTGGAGGAGAAAGAGTATTAGACAAACGTCTGAAGTGTGGCATTGGACTCGTGGGGTGTTATTTTAGAGGGAAGTGATGATGTCACGGCTGCTGACAGATCAGGTGACATTAGTGATGAAACAATGCTTAGTGAGGAACAGCGTTAGGGTTACAGATAACATCACCAGGGCTTTATTTAGGTGTGAAAACATACCACTGCAATCCTAGTCACATATTTGTCTAGCATCAATAACTCAAGAGCGCAGGGATGGACAGCATCACCGAAAAAGTACGAGTTAAGGTTCACGTTTTTTCGTATTCGTCATTCAGTGGCTCTGAATTGTCAAAACACCTCATTACGAAAAACGCAGAATTTATTTATGATGGACGAAAATTTTGGAGGCAGTGTGTAAACGTGATTGACACAACGTGAGGTCGTATTTATTTTTTGCGGACGGACGAGAATTTCGGATTCGGTGTTCAAGGACCTTTACGGTTAGATCATTAAAGGTATTGTAGGTAGAATTTTTTTTAAAAACTTTTTGCCAAATTTGTTTAAACTTTCTATATATATCAATGCATAATTAAAATGTAAGTACTCTGGAAAAGAGAGTATAAAAATCGAGTGTCTGTAGTCCTCTCAGGGCTGTAATAAACACAGCTACTTATCTCCATTCACTTCCACCCCCTCCATTCTGGGCTCCTTCCAAAACCACGCCCCCAAAACACATGAACGTGCGATGCCGACAGCTCACAGCTGGAGGACGCGCTTACTAGCGCCGAGCGGAGAGGAGCAGTGCATGTAGTGACATCATGTCAGACTCACATGTAATAAAATACCTAACTTTATCATTATGAATATAAACAACTAACATGGCTGTTAATACTCACTATCAAGCTAGCATATCGATACTGTTAAAGTTTAAAATATATTGAGTTTGATTCGTTAACGAGCTAGTAACATAAAGCAAAGCTAAAAACAGGTTGCATTGATACACGTTTTCCCATTACAATCAGTTACACTGTGATGAAGGTGAATTTTGTGTAAGATTCATAACATATACGCCGTGTTTTGCATGTAATTGTGTCTCTTACTAGTCTCTTACCCTCCTCGAGTCAAACGAGTGCGCGCATGTGGGCAGCGCATGTAGCAGCGGGGGTGTTGCCATGGTTGCGAGAGAGTGACAGTCGCCTAAGCCAATCCTTTGTTTCGTCCCGGAAGGAAATAATGAGCTGTGTTTAGTGCAGATTAAACGGTCTAGAGTCACTCGATTTTTATACTCTTTTTATCAGAGTACTTACATTTTAATTATGCATTGATATATATAGAAAGTTTAAACAAATTTGGGAAAAAGTTTTTTAGACCAAAAACGACCTACCCAACCTTTAAGCAGTTCTGGTATATACTGTACATTAACAAATGGTATACACTATGTTTGGAATAATTAAGATTTTTTAATGTTTTTGAAAGAAGAGTGTAATGCTCACCAAGGCTCCATTTATGTAATCAACTACAGAGTAAAAACAGTAACATTGCAAAATAATAATACAGGTGAAACTCAAAATTAGAATATCGTGCAAAAGTTCATTTATTTCAGTAATTCAACTTAAAAGGTGAAACTATTATATTATATAGACTCACTACATGCAAAGTGAGATATTTCAAGCCTTTATTTGTTATAATTTTGATGATTATGGCTTACAGCTTAAGAAAACACCAAATTCAAAATTAGAATATTGTGAAAAGTTTTTCATAGCTGTAAGCCATAATCATCAAAATTATAACAAATAAAGGCTTGAAATATCTCACTTTGCATGTAGTGAGTCTATATAATATATTAGTTTCTCCTTTTAAGTTGAATTACTGAAATAAATGAACTTTTGCACGATATTCTAATTTTTCGAGTTTCACCTGTTTAACAAATTAAAATAAATGTTTTCCATTTCAGTATATTTTAAAATCGAATTTAATCCTGTGGTGCAAAGCTGAATTTTCAGCATTATTACTCCAGTCTTCAGTGTCACATGACCCTTAAGAAATAATTGCAATATGCTGATTTGCTGCTTAAGAAACATTTTTTATTATTATCAGTTGTGCTGGATAATATTTCACAATTTTACTGTTTTTACTGTATTTTTCATCAAATAAATGCAGCATTGGTGAGGTTTTAAAGAGACATAAAGAACCTTTAATCCATTCCATAAAAGGTTATTTATAGTGGAAAAAGGTTCTTTTAAGAACGGTTCACTGAAAGGTTCTTTAGGGAGCCAAAAACCTCTATGGCTTTACTTTTGTAACCTTTATTTTTTATTGTGTATATTCATACCGCCCAGCCCTATAACACCACAGTCTTTATAAGGGTAAAATACAACCAAAACAATGATATAACATCACTCACGAGGATTTGGAAGCCATAGTTCCTCTGAACTGGGAATTCGGTCACATCGTAGCATGTGGACAGATCGATCTCTCCGTCCAGATCAGCAGCCTGAGGAACACGAGGGACATTGTTAAGTTAGTTAACAGTGCCGTTTCAATCGCTGATGAAAACACTCACCTCCTCAGCGATGGAGTCACGGTAGAACCTCAGGCTCTGATCGGTCAGAACAAACCAGTGTTTCTTCCACTGAGACACCAAGAGAGACAGAAGCAGAACAAACCTTTTGAATAATCTCCACCGTAAACGTTCAGACAAGCTGTTTAAGACTTTCACTGGTTCATTTTAGACTCACCAATCCATCTTCGTACAGTTTGGTCATCCATCCTTTCTTAAAGTTCAGCAGGTCCGGCTGAAAAGAGATGAGAACAAAACATACAATTTATAAACTTCAAACATTAACAGCAAATTGTTAATGAACATTAATCAAGTTTTCATGAACACAAACTAAAATTCAATGCAACAATTCACTCAAAAATGGATTTATAAATGATTTACATGAATGAATGAATCCCATTGACTTCTAGTTATTAGTCTTCTACCTTATTTTTTAGGATTTTTAAATACTTTTTTCCTAAAAAAAAATAAAAAAAAGTATCTCGCCTACAGAGAAAATCAACAGATTTTGTTAAAAATACAATTTATGTGCCTATAGATAAAGTAAAATGCAAATATATTTTTGCAACCCAGGCCATCGGAAAAGTGGCTTGTCCCTGTTGTTCTCAATAATATCATTTGCTATTTTTTGTCAGTGAGATATGTTCACAATTCATGATTTTTTTTTAAAATGCTGTTTTAAAGTACTTTACATGCAATCAGCTACATGTAAACTCTTTTGAATAAGACATCAACAGTTAAGACTTCAGAAACAAACACAATAATATAGCATACTGTATCTATTAAATATGTTAATATTTCGATGTTAATTTAAATACAACAAAACAAATATAGAAAAGACATATATATTTTTAATTATATGTTTAAGTTTAAAAAGTGCTTAAAAAGTCATAAAAATTTTCATTCTGCATCATAAAACCATCACCATAAGTCAGAAAGGAACAAATAAACCGCAAGATTTGAACAGGCAGTGGTACCTCACAAAGCCATAAACAAACTAATCTTCAACCTAAAATTACACAGCCAATAATAATACAAACCCTCTAGCATAGTATCTAACGCTGCAGTATTGAGCAGATCGAGTCCAGGGAAGATCACACCCACCAGACGTTTGGAAGTTCACCGTTCACAGTACCTTAGTCTTGTTGAGTTTCATCTGTGACCTGTTCTTCACACACTTCTGACTCACATGCCGTCTTTCTGTGTGTATGAACATGAATCGGTGTTCTCATGTGTGCATGTGTGTGTTTGGGCATGTGTCTCTGGTCCTAACGCTCTGAGTGAATGCTATTTATAATCACGGGTGGTGAAGTGGTTCTGGGTCGGGTTTGCATGAACGCAGTACTAACAGCTGAAACACACACAGACACTCTTAGAGCCTTGCAGCCCCTTAGAAATAAACATGCTGTGTTCTTAAGAGCTATTAATTATACAAGTAGATTTTCTAAACACACTTTAGTTTATATGGTTCATATATTCGATTTTGCATGTAATGCAATATAATTCTAACCAACAAAGTGAAAGTTAACTATTGTGAGAATCAAACAGTCATAGTCTTGCATCTTAATGAGCGACAAAGAAAAGGAAAGTTGTTCAGAGTTCAGATGAGGGTTAAGTCTTTGGTCATGCACATCAGTCTTTAAAGGTCCCTTTTGAAACACTTACAATGCAATTATAGTATGTAGAATTCAGATTTACCGGCATCATGTCGACAGATGAGGTAATTAAAATTACACTGTTATGATAGTTTGATTATAAAGTAAATTTCAGACTTTATAGATCTGGCTATGTGAGGCTATAGTTTGAATTAATCTCTTTGCATGACACACAGACATTACAGTACAGAATGGGTCTCACGGCATTACCCTGAACATTATATAAGCATTCGTTTCATGTGTCATTGAACGGAAGAGAGCCTCTCAGGAGCGAGTGTAAACGTCAAATCCTTTTCATTTTTCAGAGTCCTTCACAAAAAAAAATCAAAGACAAGCTATAGGGAGTCGGGGAAAGTCTCTTTTTTTAAAGTTTTGTTACAAGCCATTCACACACCGGCAATAAAAAAGCGATTAATAAATGAAAATTCTTACATATATTCCCATTAAAAGAGGATATTTATGGACAACATAACATTTCTAACTAAAATGACACATTTGAATTCAGAGAAACAATTGATTAATGATGTGATAACATTTGAAATGAAATATTTTTCTATATTCACAAAATGTACAATAATGTTTTAAATTTTTATTTATTTAATTAAAATATCAACAAAAAAAACACAATAAATATAATTCAGTCATGACTTAATTTTAGCCAACATAAAGTTCTATTTGTTTGTTTATAATTTAATAAGAAAAAATCCTAAAACTTTCTACCTCTGTTATGTTTAATAACCATTAAATTACAACCAACACTATTTGATTTAATACATAACCATATATACAATACCGTAATCAAAAAAATCTTGTCAATCATAACCCTAATTAATGGTGATTTGAGTGTTAGTTATGTGGTCTTACAGTCATGAGTGTCTCTGTGGTTCTGCGATCCAGACTTTTGGCCCTTCGGTAACCAGCTAGTGAATAATCCTCATCCGTCCGGCCTTTAGCCGAATCCAGTGAGAAATCCTGCAACAGTTTAAGAAAGAAATTAAAAATTAATGAATTCAAAGAAACATTACTGATGATTTTAACGAAATACTGCTACTAGGCCTCCTTGAAATATCATTATAAAACAGACAGTTCTGATTCTGAAATCTGATTGGATGACCCAGATTGAACTGGCTTATTGCTGTAACGACACTCAGCAACTTACTGAACAATAGCACAAATGTTTAGTCCAATCATTTCACACACTCAAAGTACTATACTGCAATTTATACACTATTTTAAACAGATGCTAAACAGTTTTTACTACAAAAAATGTATTATACACCCTTGTATAATCATTAATTAAACGCCATGTTAAATGAGTACCTGTTTCTGGTTGGAGAGCCGTTTCTCATTGCGTCCTGCTCTCTGATTGGCTGTTTTAGAGTAAGAAGGGGCGGGGTCTGTTAAAGAATTCGTTGTGTCCATTTGTTCTGGAGTGCTGACAGCGTCATGACACTCATATGTCTCAATGACCTGTGAACGTCTGCTGCAAAACACACACAGAGGTCAGAACAGAAACAATGCAATATATGGCATAATCAGATGCTTTCCTTTCATCACAGATCTTCTCATACCTTTTTTTGGACTCTGAGATTTGTCTAAAATAATGGGTAAAATCATAAACCAAACAGAGTTAAATGCGATGCATAATAAACTAATAAAAGCATTAATAAATAAACAAATTTCACTATTTCTACCTACAGCACTGCAGGATGTTTACATCTAGAGGAAGGATGCTGGAGCATATTTTTGAGAAATAAAATGAAAAATCACTTCCTCTGTTCACTACTGGTCAGTCAGCTGAAACTGACCCCATAAATAACCTAATGTCTCAAACAAAGGAAAGGAAATGGTTTCTCATTGACATTAAAGCTATGACATTGCCTCAGAATGACTTTGTATTATAAAACAGATTCCTGTTCTAAAAGCCGGTGTAATGTAATTATTATAATTAGTGTTGAAAAATCACTTTTTATTTATAATGTAGCAACTTTTGGCAAGTATTGCCATTACCTTTGCAATTTTGGAGCTAGCTAACACAGACAAGCTTAAAGGGATAGTTCACCCCAAAATGAAAATCCTGGCAGTAATTACTCTCCCTCGTGTTGTTCAACCCCGTAAGACTTTCGTTCATCTTCGGAACACAAAATAAGATATTTCTGATTAAATCTGAGAGCTGGATCACTCCTCCATAGCCTTCTAAGGGATCGAAACTGGCCGGCCCAGAAAAGTTATTAAAGACATCGTTAAAATAGTCCGAGTGACTACAGTGGCTCAACCTTAAGTTTATCAAGCGACGAGAATACTTTTTGTGCGCAAAAAACAAACAAAAATAACGACTTTATTCGACTATTCGTTTCCTTCTCTGTGGGCCTCGAGATAGTTCACGTAGTGTAACAGCACAGCGCTTCTGTGTTATACGTCACATGCAGGCTCACTATTGGCCGACACTGGTCATGCTGGTCACTACGTAAACTATCTCGAGGCCCACAGAGAAAGAAATGAATAGTTGAATAAAGTCGTTATTTTTGTTTTGTTTTTGCGCACAGAAAGTATTCTCGTCGCTTGATAAACTTAAGGTTGAGCCACTGTAGTCACTCGGACTATTTTAACGATGTCTTTAATAACTTTTGGGCCGGCCAGTTTCAATCCCTTAAGAAGCCTATGGAGGAGTGATCCAGCTCTCAGATTTAATCAAAAATATCTTAATTTGTGTTTCGAAGATGAACGAAAGTCTGAAGGGGTTGAACAACACGAGGGAGAGTAATTACTGACTGAGTTTACATTTTGGGGTGAACTATCCCTTTAATTCCTTCAGCAAAATTACCTTTAGGAAGATTTTAGTGTTTGAAACTGCAAGGCTTTTCTCAACAGAGAGTATCTGGGATGTTAGCATGTCATTGATTTGTAGTATTTGTTTAACAAGATGAATTTTAGATGTCTTATACGAGCAGATGGCAGAGCAGAGGGACAGACACAGGAAACCAGCCATGAGCAGAACCCCAGTCAGCAGTCAGTCTTTGTCCCAGTGTACACCCATGTGTTAGTAGGAATAACTCATCTTTTACACCCGTTTCACACCGAACTGAAGCAGCAGCATACGTGCACTATGCTTTCTCATTGACAGGATTTCTGATGCATTCTGGGGTACCACATTTAGCATTTCCTTTAGAATAATTATGGCTGTTATTAATGTATATAAAAATATATAATGCATATAAGTGGGCTAATAATGGAACCTCATGGGGGCGGAGATCACATGACCAGATGAATCAGAAATCATTTCTATCTCAGTAGCTAGTTGTAGAATAAATTAAACAACATTTCTGCCATAGCATCAGTAACTGAAAACGTTTGCTATTGAGTGAGGCTGCATTCAAGCCATTTTAGCAAAAAAATTAGTGAACCTTTAAATTCCAATCATCTCCGCCAAATGGAGCCTCATTGTGAGGCTATAAACTAAATCGTCTGTGCTGCATATTTGGGCACTCTGAATTCACTGTTAATCTGTTTTCCGAAATAAATATGCGCTGCTTGCGGTGTGAAAAAGGCTTTTGTCTTTGATTCTGAGATGTGTATGTGTATGTGTATGTGTATGTGTATGTGTGTGTGTGTGTGTGTTATAATTTGGCCCCAGCAGGTGGAATGAAAGTAAGCAGTGGGTGTGTCAGTGGGCGTGGCAGGGCGTGGCGCAGGGCAGGAAGTGCAGAGTTTCAGAAGACTGCCTGAAAAAGAGGAGAAACAGATCAAATAAAAAGCAAAAAAGACATAAAAAGCACGAGAGAAAGAAAAAACTGAAATGAAAGAAGAACAGTGCAGAAATAAAGAAACATTTTAAATCACAGATACAGAACTGAACAGATACAAGGTTCAGTTCTGCCTTGAGATTTCAACAAAATGGAAGAGAGATTAGATTGGAAGTTCAGTTTTACACAGTGTTCACTAGGTGGCGCTAAAGCTGCAAGAATGAGATGAATGTCATGATTCTAAGTGCTAAAGGCACAGCAGTAGCTCTGACAGATAGCAGCGCATCCTCCCTGCGTCTCAGTTTCTGAACATGTTCATCCTGAGTGTCATTGACAGATAAAAGGCTGGTTTTTCCTGCCGGCTCCAGCAGGTGGAGATATAACCTCCACGCTCGCTCTGAGACGTAAACACAGCAGGCGTGTTGGCTGGGTCTGAGCGAGCAGATTGTGTTTATACTGCAGGGGAAGTAGCTGCGTATCTGCAGTTCCCTGTACAGAACTGTGTATCTGCTCAATTACGATCAGAATATAACCTATAAAGCATAATGTGGCTATAAAACATGAATGTCTTCATTACTGTGATTTAAATGTATGTATATTTAACTAGAATGTGTGTGTGTGTCATTGGCTCTGGTACAAACTCTAGTGACTTACCTACCTAGTAGACAGCATTTTTAGGCATCATAAGCACATAAAATCTATTCCAAACAGTACCAATATGGGGCCGGAGATCACATGATGAATACGAATCATTTATTATCTCAGTAGCTGGTTGTGGAAGAAATAGAACAACATTTCTACAATGACATCAGTAACTGAAAACGTTTGCTATTAAGTGAGGCTTCATTCAAGCCACTTTAGCAAACCATAAAAAAAAATGACTGAGTGAACATTTAAATTAAATTAAATTAAAAGTTCATTAAAAATAAACTATTTCATCAAGTATTTGTGTAGGCTATGCTATTATTTTTAATTTAAAAAAAAAATAATATTAGCCTATTTGTTAATGAATTTATTATTATTTATTTTATATCATGTACATTTTTAATAATATTAATTGTAATATAATATTATTTGTTAACATTATTTTTGTTAATAATATCATTTGCTATTGATATTGTAAAGCCTTACATATGAAATAATAGTTCGAAAAATCAAATTGTAAAAAAAAAAAATTGGAACAGTTTATAAAACATTTTAGACAAAGAAAATTGCAACGTGATTTTTGTTGAGTATCATATTTGATACATCAGGCTTTTATGGCTCATATAGTATGATAGAGTGAGCATATGGAGCTCATACTCGAAGAGGAAAAAACTGAATTTAGTGCAGTATAAACTATCAGTCAGACGATAGAAGGCATGTATAACACTGTGTTCTAGGTCTTTCAGCAAAGTTTTGATTATTTATTATATAGTAAGCCGGTTTATAGGGTTAAGCGTTATTTGTGTGATGCACACGAATGCCCATTACAAGAGCTTCTGCCAATGTATTTCAAATCAGTTACTAATAAAGATGCTGTCAAGTCAAATCAAGTCACCTTCATTTATATAGCGCTTTTAACAATATAGATTGTTTCAAAGCAGCTTTACAGTGGTAATAGAAAATTAAAGGAACAGAGACTGTTTTGGCTTTACAGCAGCTCTAGAATAACGTTATTGTCCAGCTAAAGTTAGTTTTGATTGATTCACTTCTGTTGCAAAGATCCTTAGTTATTAACTTAAAGGGGTGGTTCAGGATTTTGGACATCGGGCCTCATTTCCAAGTTAGCCTTAGTGTTCTTTATCAGTGGAGACAGTTTTCAAAAATGTTCATCCAGTCGTTCCAGTTGCATAGTTCGCCGGTGCTAGGCTAGCGCGAGTCAACGGTAACTGCTCGCCTGCCATAAAAACAGTTTTACCCACTCCACAGTTCACCAAAAGCAAATAAATTATAACGCCAGACTATCGATGTAAATGTCTGTTGAGAGAATAATGTTAGAGTTAAGTACTCTTGCATCTCAATGATCGCAATACATTTACAGGAACTAGTTTCTCAGCAGCGGCAGGATTTTACTTTACTCCGGTTAGTAGCACTGCGCCGAAAAGTAAACACAGAACAGAAGAGCACTACAGTCGGGACTACCTGTACTACCTCTTTCTCTCTACCTCTCTACCTCTCTCTCTCACTACCTCTCTCTCTCACTACCTCTCTCTCTCACTACCTCTCTACCTCTCTCTACCTCTCTCTACCTCTCTCTACCTCTCTCTACCTCTCTCTACCTCTCTCTCTCTACCTCTCTCTACCTCTCTCTCTCTACCTCTCTCTACCTCTCTCTCTCTACCTCTCTCTACCTCTCTCTACCTCTCTCTACCTCTCTCTACCTCTCTCTACCTCTCTCTCTCTACCTCTCTACCTCTTTCTCTCTACCTCTCTACCTCTCTCTCTCACTACCTCTCTCTCTCACTACCTCTCTCTCTCACTACCTCTCTCTCACTACCTCTCTCTCTCTACCTCTCTCTACCTCTCTCTACCTCTCTCTACCTCTCTCTACCTCTCTCTCTCTACCTCTCTACCTCTTTCTCTCTACCTCTCTACCTCTCTCTCTCACTACCTCTCTCTCTCACTCTACCTCTCTCTCTCACTACCTCTCTCTACCTCTCTCTACCTCTCTCTACCTCTCTCTACCTCTCTCTACCTCTCTCTACCTCTCTCTCTCTCTACCTCTCTCTACCTCTCTCTCTCTACCTCTCTCTACCTCTCTCTACCTCTCTCTACCTCTCTCTCTCTACCTCTCTCTACCTCTTTCTCTCTACCTCTCTACCTCTCTCTCACTCTACCTCTCTCTCTCACTACCTCTCTCTACCTCTCTCTACCTCTCTCTACCTCTCTCTACCTCTCTCTACCTCTCTCTACCTCTCTCTCTCTACCTCTCTCTACCTCTCTCTACCTCTCTCTACCTCTCTCTACCTCTCTCTACCTCTCTCTCTCTACCTCTCTCTACCTCTCTCTACCTCTCTCTCTCTACCTCTCTCTCTCTACCTCTCTCTACCTCTCTCTACCTCTCTCTACCTCTCTCTACCTCTCTCTACCTCTCTCTACCTCTCTCTACCTCTCTCTACCTCTCTCTACCTCTCTCTCTCTACCTCTCTCTACCTCTTTCTCTCTACCTCTCTACCTCTCTCTCACTCTACCTCTCTCTCTCACTACCTCTCTCTACCTCTCTCTACCTCTCTCTACCTCTCTCTACCTCTCTCTACCTCTCTCTACCTCTCTCTCTCTACCTCTCTCTACCTCTCTCTACCTCTCTCTACCTCTCTCTACCTCTCTCTACCTCTCTCTCTCTACCTCTCTCTACCTCTCTCTACCTCTCTCTCTCTACCTCTCTCTCTCTACCTCTCTCTACCTCTCTCTACCTCTCTCTACCTCTCTCTACCTCTCTCTACCTCTCTCTACCTCTCTCTACCTCTCTCTACCTCTCTCTCTCTACCTCTCTCTACCTCTCTCTCTCTACCTCTCTACCTCTCTCTACCTCTCACTACCTCTCTCTCTCTACCTCTCTCTACCTCTCTCTACCTCTCTCTCTACCTCTCTCTCTACCTCTCTCTCTACCTCTCTCTCTCTACCTCTCTCTCTCTACCTCTCTCTCTCTACCTCTCTCTACCTCTCTCTACCTCTCTCTACCTCTCTCTACCTCTACCTCTCTCTCTCTCTCTCTACCTCTCTCTCTCTCTACCTCTCTCTCTCTACCTCTCTCTCTCTACCTCTCTCTCTCTACCTCTCTCTCTCTACCTCTCTCTCTCTCTACCTCTCTCTCTCTCTACCTCTCTCTACCTCTCTCTACCTCTCTCTACCTCTCTCTACCTCTCTCTACCTCTCTCTCTCACTACCTCTCTACCTCTCTCTACCTCTCTCTACCTCTCACTACCTCTCTCTCTCTACCTCTCTCTACCTCTCTCTACCTCTCTCTCTCTACCTCTCTCTCTACCTCTCTCTCTCTACCTCTCTCTCTACCTCTCTCTACCTCTCTCTACCTCTCTCTCTCTCTACCTCTCTCTCTCTCTACCTCTCTCTCTCTACCTCTCTCTCTCTACCTCTCTCTACCTCTCTCTCTCTACCTCTCTCTACCTCTCTCTCTCTACCTCTCTCTCTCTCTCTACCTCTCTCTACCTCTCTCTCTCACTACCTCTCTACCTCTCTCTACCTCTCTCTACCTCTCTCTACCTCTCTCTACCTCTCTCTCTCACTACCTCTCTCTCTCACTACCTCTCTCTCTCACTACCTCTCTCTCTCACTACCTCTCTCTCTCACTACCTCTCTCTCTCACTACCTCTCTCTCTCACTACCTCTCTCTCTCTACCTCTCTCTCTCTCGGTTGCCTAGGTAACTACATATCCCTCTGCCGCTGCTGTAGTAGACTGTGCTAATAAATACAGGGAACAAAGTATAACTATTGCAATGCAATGAAAGGGTAGTTTGATTTTCAACATTATTCTCTCAACAGACATTTACATCGATAGTCTGGCGTTATAATGTATTTGCTTTAGGTGAACTGTGGAGTGGGTAAAACTGTTTTTAATGGCAGGCGAGCAGTTACCGTTGACTCGCGCTAGCCTAGCACCGGCGAACTATGCAACTGGAACGACTGGATGAAAATTTTTGAAAACTGTCTCCACTGATAAAGAACACTAAGGCTAACTTGGAAATGAGGCCCGATGTCCAAAATCCTGAACCACCCCTTTAAGGGCCACTTACACGACACCGTTCTAACAGAAAACCCTCGATGCGCTCCGGCCCGCTCATTCACACATCAACAGTGCCTGGTGGCTCGAGAACGCAAACCTTGAAATAGGTTCCAAGTAAATAGGTTATCCTCTCCGCGTAAATGCTGTCTAAGAAGATGGCTGCGTCACATGGGTTGGAAACAGAGCTTTTGTGTGTGTGTATCACTCATCACCTTCGTTCACGTCCGAACAGTCGTTCCACTTCCTCCCGGCCCGGGCTCCTTGCGCGTGCTCGCAGCTCCTGCCGTTTCTGAGTGGGTCGGTACGCTTCCCGATGACTTAGTCTCCGTGCCCGCGGCACGTCTGCCAGGGTGGCGTAACCCTGCCCGCCTCGACCCGCCCTGCCCACACGGCTCTCAGGACTCTGCTCTGAGTCCAAAGAGCTCTGAGAAGAGGACAGGGATGACGGGAGGATGTTTGCGTGGCATGTGTGTGAGTTTGGACTGGAGAGCGTGTCCGGGCTGGGAAGGGGACAGAGATTGGCATCCGTCGAGGATGGGAACTCCAGTGATGGGGCGTCCACTGAAAGATGCTCCTCTGATTTGCTAAGTCTTTGTGTGTTGTGTTGGTGAGTGCGGGCGTTATATGTAATGCGCACATCACAGGGAATCTGTGTGTTAGTAGCAGTGTGTGGGTTGTGTGACGTGTGTGAGCTGACTGGAGAGCTGAAGAGCTCAGGATCAAATGAGAGATACCTGGAGCGTGAGGAAGAGGAGGGTGGTGTGGAGGAGGAAGAGAGCAGAGGCGGCTGTTGTTGCGGTAGTGGCTCTCGCTCCTGCTGGCATTGATGCTGTTGTCCTTCATCTTCTTCATTTTTGGGTTTTTCCAGCGAAAAATATCCGCTCTCCACCCGTGGCTTACGACTAGCACTCAAGTTTTCCGAATCTGAGCGTGAGAAAGACCGAAAAATCACAGTCAGTACCCTTACAAAATACCAAAATAATACCTAGTTACTACTGTAAAATCATTCTAAATTAATCTGGGATCTCTTTTAAACGGAGTAAAACGCTTTGAGAATCGGTCATTTTGTTTAATCTGGTTTTTAATGACAGTGGTGACTAACACCAAGTTACCACATTTTTATTAAGGTAACAATCACTGTAGTGTTTGGTCAGAAATTATAGTTACTGTGGTTTTTGTGAGTGAGTGAACCTACGTATTTAAATGTTTTCATTTTGCCTGAAATTGGAGGTCCAGTGACTTTATGATGTGTGAAGTGGACGTCTTTCTTCTAAGACCAAAATAAATAAGGGTTCCTGGTGATGTAACTCAATATTATAAAATCACATGTACTGAACATGACGGCAATAGTGAACTGTGGCAGTGGGATAGACCTCGGAGTCAAGGGTAAATATTTCCCCAGATTTTAATGAAGGAAATTTGACAGAAACTCACTGTTGCTATGATGTTCTGAGAGGCATTTGCCCCAAACTCACCACCACAATAGAGTACAACGGTGTCCGCCCAACTTTTAAGAGGTCTTGGCTCCAGAATTATTTTCCCCATTAATTTTTCCAATAGTGATTTTAAAAAAGCCATAACTTTAACTGCTGGTGTCGCTGCTGGACAGGGTTGAGTGAGTCAAACACTCTTTCGTAATATTCATATTTCGTAATATTTGCACTGTTTTATTTTTGTACAGTGGATTATTTTCTCATCCAATTTTTAAAGAGGCACTGCCTCATTTGCCTCCTCGGAAGAAATACCCCTGATACAAATATTTAAGTGATTTGAAAGCACAAGGAGACTGACGGTTACGTCATTCGCAGTGCTTCATGGGCGGACGTTAAAGAGTTCCTTTGGCGAGATTAGCTTGTTGCGATTCCTTATTTGGTAGGAATTTATTTAGCAGAATCAGGGGCAATGTAGTTCTTCACTATGAATTCTGCTGTTATACAATTATTATTATTTTTAAAAATCAAAAAGAAAGAGCAGAGCCTCAAACAACAACTTTTTTTTTTTTTTTACTAATATAGAATAGTAAGTGTTAGTATTAATGGGTCAAGTGTTGATGAAAAAGATGTGTCTTCAGCAGTTTCTTGAAAATGGCTAAAGACTCAGCAGTTCGGGTCGAGTTAGGCGAGTCATTCCACCAGCTTGGAACAGTCAAGGTAGAGGTCTGTGAAAGTTTCATAAAAAAAAGCAACATTTTTGAACAAAAAGCTGAGAAAATTGCCTTTTTGTCAAAGACTTTGTCAGGATCGGATTCAGAACGATGATCAAAACATAGATAGGTGTGCAAGGTGGTTGTTTGCACATGCATACCTGTGTACGTAATGTTTCTGTTCTAAATTTTAAATGTGTTTTTGTGGAAACAAGTAATTTCAATATTTCATCAACTAATTATTGACACCCAGGTTCACAACTGCATGTCATAACCTTGTTTTTGTTAGTTTCAATTGAATTGTTTGTGTGTTGGTACCCAGTTGACTCAGGCTCCCGGTGCTGCTGCTTGTTGGTAAAGTGGCCCGACTCCATGTTCCCTCCTGCCACAGGGTGGCCCGGGTGGGCGGCACTCGCTCAGCGTGAGCTATAGTGCTGGGAAGACACACCAAACTGCTGCTGCTGCTGGTACTGGTGACCGTCACCTTCGCAGGGCCTGGTTCCTGAACACAGAGAAAGAGAGAAAAAGAGAAACATTCAGACAAGCATAATATTTAACTAACCCGTAGTCAAGAACAAAGAGCTCTTTGATGTTGAAAACACCTGTGTGTATGTGTGTGTGTGTGCAGACAGATAGACACACGAATGTAACTGTCTAAACTTGCAGGCTGATAACAAATGAGCTATTGTGCCATGATTTCATACACACACTGATTTACGCTCAGCACCACACCCCACACTAAACACACACTCGCAGATTAACGTCTGTGTCTTTCCTGTTTCCACCTGACCGCCCAGTAATACCTTTTTGATTAAATCATAAAATCACTCAGCGTATTTTTCTGCATGAAACCAAACACACGCACATGCCTGTGTGTGTGTGAGCCACCCAGCATCCCAGCGGAAGCACACACATGAGAATTATTTACTGGACAAATCATGACACGGTTCTTGTTCCTTCCAATCATATGATCTCCAAAAACACCCATAATTCATGTATTGATCAGATTCCAGTGCTGTGCTCTGATTGGTCGGATCGTGCTGGTTCTGGACTTACAATAAACCCATTTATGTTCTGCTGGGAACATCGACCTGTATGAAGAGCAGCGGTCTGACAAAACACAGGTCAGGAGGTCAGAGCAAAGTAAATGAACCCTAACAATACAAACACAATCCATTTAAAACATTCCATTACTCTATTAATTACAGGACTGAGCAATAAAATAAATAACCAAAAAACAAAAGAGAAAATAGAGAAAATGGCTGAGATTTGTTCTAAAAACTATTTAAAAATATAAAAAATTAACTGCATAAAATATTTACAAAACCATCATAGAATATCAAAAAATCATGTATATACAAATATGTTTGTTTAATAAAAAACATATATAAAACAAATAAAATAATATTATATATATATATATATATATATATATTAGTGCTGTCAAACGATTAAAATATTTAATCGCGATTAATCGCATTAATGTCATAGTTAACTCGCGATTAATCGCACATTTTTATCTATTCTAAATGTCTCTTGATTTCTTTTTGTCCCATTCTTTTTTATCATTTTAATGCTCTTATCAACATGGAAAAGTGGATCGGCTTGCTTTGTGCAAATGTTTTTTATTGATAACAACATTGGCATATACTGTGTTCAATTTCACACTAACATTCTCACTTGGAGCAAATAATCTCTCACACAACGTAACACTGTCCATCAATAAAAGGGTGAAAGAAATACTGACGAGGTCCTGATATTGACGAGGGGGCGGAGAATTCGCATCAGCTGTGTGTGTGTGTGTGTGTGTGTGTGTGTGCTTGGCCATCAAGTGGTATTTCAGACTGGACGAGCTGCGATGATGATAGCTCAGTTCACAACGACAAAACACACAGATCACTTTGGTCTTGCAATGGGACCATTTGGCAACTTTTTAAAAGTAAACTTTCCATTCAGAATCTCATTGGCATCCATTTCGGCGTCTCGCGCTCGTCATCACTCAAAACTTAACGTTAACCAACTATTAGGCCGGCTCGCAAACTAAAATGGGTTTGCGTTAACGCCGTTAATAACGTGTTTAACTGACAGCCCTAATATATATATATATATATATATATATATTACAATTAATAGATTTAAAATCTTTATATAAAATATTAAAATCAAGTATAATATAACAGACAAGGCGGCTTTTCCCCTAAGTTGTGTACTGGCCTTCCAAGAAGACCTGGGTCACAAATCCTGCTTGGTAGAACAAAATACTATTAAACCATCTTTACTAAGAACTAGGAATAATAAGGATTTTTATGAGCTATCTGTGCAAAGATGACATTTCAAGAAACTGAAATTTTGTCATTCACCAAATAAGGTGGTGTGTGTGTGTGTGTGTGTGTGTCCGTGTACCTGTGGAGTTGGCGTTTCCACTTTCCGTTTCTTCTTCTGGTTTTGTTTGTTGGTTCGTGGGAACACCATCAGCGCCTCCTGCCACCTGAACACATATACAGTGTTTGGGAATTACTTCAAAACAGCAATTAGTTAGTACTTACTTATCTATTTATACAGATTGTAATGAACATATTTTACATATCAGTGAGTGATCACTTTAGTAATTCCTTCTCTCACAAATCCATATCAAGCTTTACCAGATGAACAATGAGGATGCACACAAATTGTTCCTTCAGTTAAGATCATGCCATTGCAACACATTTCTCAAATAAAAATCTTTATTAGTTTCATGTTAGCTTTGACATCTCCTGCAGTCCAATATGGTTATCAGGTGTTTTTCACCAGAAATAATATATATGGCTGTTATATTCTTATCTGCAAGTCTTATAAATTAATGCATTTTTATTCTTCAAATAAGCGGGTCCTTACAGCACTGCTGCCTCTATAACAAATCGCTTGTGATGTTATCCTTTTGTAAGTTATTTTGGATTAAAGCATTTGCTAAATCAGTAAATATTAATGATTAAATGCATCAATTAAACCTCAAACAGATCATGGAGTGAGCGTGTGTATGCGTTAATGAAAATGAATTTTGATGTGGGATAGTAAATTTTTAATCATCATTACAGTAACAGTTGTCAATATGTCTTCAGATCAACTGTGAGATATGAATTAACACTCATTCTTCATCTGTGTGTGTGTGTGTGTGTGTGTGTGTGTGTAACTCACCCATGTATGATCTCTTTGCTCTCAGCACGTATGTAATGGTCTTTCTCTGGTGTGCAGATGCACAGTGAGTGTTTCTGACCCGTCCGGCTCTCACCGTCCACAACATCCACACACTGATTCAGGTTTATGGTGCCCTGTGGAAGAGTGCTGGCCTGAAACACACACACACACACACACAAGTAGCTTCATCAGCATTTCAATATTAAGCAGCACAACTGTTTTGAACATTGATAATAAGAAATGTTTCTTGAGAAAATCAGCATATTAGAATGATTTCTGAAGGATCATGTGTACAAAAAAACTAAAATCACCAACAAAACCTCCAACGAGTCAGACAAGATGTGTGTGTCTCAGCTATAGACTGAGGAATGATGGTAGCACTTTATAATAAGGTCCCATTAAATAACATGAGTTAAAGCATTAACTAACACTGAGCAACGCATTTGTGAGAGTATTTATTTATCTTTAATAACATTAGTTTAAAAAAATTAATGTTCATTGTTAGTTCAGGTCAAATAATATGGTAACACTTTATGATATAAGATTTCATTTGTTTACATTAGTTAATGTATTTATTAAAAGCAACAGAAGTCTATGATACGTCCTCATTTAGACAGTGAAGTAAATATGTATGTGTGTGTAAACATGTGGCACATGACCACCCACAAACCGGTTCATTCTCCCTGTATTTCTGTCATTTCCTCACGACGAACATCCTTCAACATTCATTCAAGTTTCTCTCTCACCTTCTTTCACAACATCTCTCGATATTTTACTTCTTGTTCTTGTCACAAAATTCCTTCTTTGTTGTGCAGCCAGCATTCACACACAGTTGTGCAGCCAGCACACACACACACACACACACACACACACACACACAATAACTCTTTCAGCAGGAAAGACTGACACACACAGAAACAGTGACCAAGCAACACACACATACTCATCAGAAATTTGGAAAGAGGAACAACACAACACCCTGAAAAAACAGGCCTTCAGTAAACCCGTCTTTTTCAAAGTTGCATTTTCAGCTTCCTTTTGATCACTTGTTTACAGTGTTTCTCATCGGTGCGGCTGTTGAACAAGTTTGCTCGTTTTAAAAGCACTGATCACATGATGCCGACACGACTGGGGGATGACAGCTGAGGTGCAGATAAAGCTGCTGAGGCATCATGGGAGAAATTCAAGTTCCATAAAAGAGACATCATCCATTTTTAAAGGCCGGTGGGGGGTTTGGTCCATGTAATAAGCCCTGCAGGGTTCATTCGAAGCCAGAAAACCTAACCTCCTTAACATCTCTGAACTTGTTGCTGAATTTGTTCCATATTTGATGAAGTTTCCAATCTGTTTATTACTGTGAAGCTGCTTTGACACAATCTGTTTTGTATAAAGCGATATATAAATAAAGATGACTTGCATGACTTAACTAAACTTGACTCCTCCTAACCAGATGTAACATGACATTTTGTAAGTTGCTTGATTTCTATTTTACAGAGTGGAATCGACTGCTCCATATAGTAAAATATGTTCTGATTTAGCATTTTTATTTATTGTTCTTCACAACTTACATTTAACAGTCTACGTTCAACCGCACTGTCAAAAACGAGCTTTTATTACAGACTGATTTGTTTTTCAGTGAATCATATTTGCAGATCAAAGTTCCTCAAGCTAAAATATTGTGTTTGACTTCTGCCATCTATTTACTTCCATCAAACTAACCACTGCACTCGTTTATCCACAACCTGAGCTCATTTTGGTCTTACATATTTATAAATAAAAAAAAGAGAAGAAAAAAAAGTGCCCTTTTAGAACTGAAACCACATTTGAAAGCATAGTTGTCAAACTGCATGTACAATTTTTTGAACACCAAAATTAGATTAAAATTAATATCAATATATAAGAGAAAGCATTTAGGTGACTAGTCACAATTGCACCATTTTTGTCCTGCAGAAATCTTTAAAAGTTCACTACAACTTCATGCAAGAATAAAAAAAAAAAAAGTTATTAAATCGATTTTACATTAAAAATGTACATATAAAAGCGAAGGAAAGACATTAACAAGTCACCATTTCACCATTTTGTTTTTGCAGTTTACTTAAATGGTCCTGCAGTTTGACAAATTAATTTTACGTTTGAACATTTTATGTAGTCCACAAATGAGTTAAAAAATTTTATCATATTGATCATATTTAAATGAGTTTCAGGTGAATTATAGCATGTCAGACTGGTTATAGCAGGACACTTATTTTCATACAACTACGCACATTTATTTCAATAGAAAATCCTTATCTCGACCAGGGATTCCCAAACAAAATATTTTCTTGCACCCGATTTCCGTACGACATGCATACATGACACAGATATATTTAATCTTAGACATTATGGCTTTGATTTTCTAGCAATTTTAGGGTTAAAATGATTTTATAAAAATATATATTTTGCATAAAATAAAAATGTTTAGTTCAGAAAATTTGTTTTACATCAAACTTTAAATTCGATCACTTACATTTTTTTCACTTCTGCAATAATCTGCAGAGTGATCACGCTTAGATCTGTATTCCAAAGCATTCGTGAATTACAATCATTTAAGTTTAGAGCAATGCTCAAAAAGACGAATGACAGTTAAACAAGTTAAATAAAAAAAAAATAACAACGAGTTATTAGCTTTTTATCAACCCCAGCTTGGTAATCCCTGATCTAAACGGTTGATAAACTACAAAAAGAAACACATTTGCGAATGGGAAGATTGCAATAATGATAAATCACATTAAAACTGTCTTTAGAGAGGAGCCTCTGGGAAAGCTGCCCGACTGACTGAGCGTTTTACACAACACAAAGAGACTGCTGAATCTGTGTTCAGCACACACATCGCTGCTAGAGATCGATGCCCACAGCTTTAACCCTCGCCCGGCCCACAGGTCATCACCAGGGGCAGATTCACTGAGGTCGTGAACTACAGCAAGTACATGTTCAACAACCAGCCGTCTAATCAACGCTCACATGCATTCATACAGAGATGCAGCTAGTCTGAAAATAGCCGCTAGGCTTCTGTTGTAATCTTCCTCTCATCCTGTTCTTTCCTCCTACACATCTCTCGCTTTCTCTCTCCACTGGCTGTACGTCCAACAGCAGAGGAAGAGGAAGGAGAACGAAAGGATGATGGAGAGAAGAGAAGGACTGTCAATTGATTTTTTTAAAATACACTCTAATTAAAGGGATAGTTCACCCCAAAATGTAAACTCTGTCAGTAATTACTCTCCCTCATGTCGTTCCAACCCCGTAAGACTTTCGTTCATCTTCGGAACACAAATTAAGATATTTCTGATTAAATCTGAGAGCTGGATCACTCCTCCATAGGCTTCTTAAGGGATCGAAACTGGCCGGCCCAGAAAAGTTATTAAAGACATCGTTAAAATAGTCCGAGTGACTACAGTGGCTCAACCTTAAGTTTATCAAGCAATCGAGAATACTTTTTGTGCGCAAAAACAAAACAAAAACAACGACTTTATTCAACTATTCATTTCCTTCTCTGTGGGCCTCGGGATATTTCACGTAGTGTAACAGCGCAGCGCTTCTGTGTTGTACGTCACACGCAGGCTCACTATTGGCCGACACTGGTCATGTGTGTGACGTACAACACAGAAGCGCTGCGCTGTTACACTACGTGAACTATCTCGAGGCCCACAGAGAAGGAAATTAATACTTGAATAAAGCCGTTATTTTTGTTTGTTTTTTGCGCACAAAAAGTATTCTCGTCGCTTGATAAACTTAAGGTTGAGCCGCTGTAGTCACTCGGACTATTTTAACGATGTCTTTAATAACTTTTCTGGGCCGGCCAGTTTCAATCCCTTAGAAGCCTTTGGAGGAGTGATCCAGCTCTCAGATTTAATCAGAAATATCTTAATTTGTGTTCCGAAGATGAACGGAAGTCTTTCGGGGTTGAGCAACACGAGGGCGAGTAATTACTGACAGAGTTTACATTTTGGGGTGAACTATCCCTTTAAGTATGTAACATGCTGGTTAATTCATGAAGTCATTCGAAATAAGCATGATTTTTTAAACATTACAAATTGTGTAGTAAATGCCATTTCATAATCATGTTAAAGACCACATGAAATGGTTTGATGCTATTTTCTTTCTATGAAGATATATATTTAATATAAATAATATACAATTTTTTTGGGTCTGTTTTCCAGGAAAGACTGTACATTTTACTTGCACATACATTATTTGGTAAAACTTTACGATACGGTTCCACTGTTAACACAGTTAACTACATTAGTTAACATGAACAATTAAAATACTTCTAAAGCATTTTAGTAAATCATTTATTATTGATTTAAGGTAAAGTGTTAACATTTACACTAGCATAAAACCTAACCTCAAATCTAAAACACAGACTAAATGTTATAATGCAACCAAAAAACAAACAAACAAAAAAACAGTTTGGCAGTTTATACAATGACAAGACTTTTGCCGAATGAAATAACAAAAAAACAAAAAACTTTTTCACAATATGTTCTATTGTGCTCAGCTAAAGAAAAAAATGTCGCCCTTAAAGATGATGACAATTTTTCCGATAATAGTCCTGCTGTAATAAGTGCCATTGTCTTTATGCAAAACATAACTCATTTTTCTGCTGATGTGGGGGGGTTCTTGACATGCTTAGTGAGATTTGCCGCTACAATACATTCTATATTGTAGGGTTCGAGTGGTCGTTATGGAAACACATGTTGAAGAGCAGCTATAAATATAGCGTGAGGCTCAGAATGTGTTCAAGCTTTCTCCACACACACTCACAGAGCGTCCAGTCAACACCAGACACCCTGACCTCTCACGAGACCACACTTCAGCACCTGTTTCTGATGGGACCGATACAATGCAAACCCTGCTGATGACATCAACACACACACACACAAACGTCAAAATCATTTATGTGCAAAATAAACGCATATGGCCAAAAAACAAAGACTCTATCAGTGCTATATTAGCATTATTTATATATTATTATAGTACTTACTAATGTTTGAATTAGCTTTTATTTTTACATTTTCAGTTTTCATTTGAATTTTAGCTTAAGTTTTAGTAATTTTGTCATTTTAATTAGTTTTTGAATGATTAAAATATTTCTTTATAGCTTTAATTAATCTGTATTTCAGTTCACCCTCAAGTTAATAAAAGCTCTAAAAAAGAGAACTATAAAAGAGAACTCCGGCGCAAAATGAACCTTTGGTCTAATAAAACATTGGTACCTAGTCAACCGTTCTCTGAGATTTGCTTTCATGATTATCGAATGTAAAGAGTTGTATCTCTAAAAACTGTTTAGCGTATAACACTAGTAATGGGGGCATTTAATAAGTAAAAAGAAATCACTAGTTAATACCACTAACAAGGCTCAAAATACCCTCACACTAACACAGTGACATAATGAGGGTCCCTACATGCAAAACGAAGCATTGAGAACTTTGTAAGTGTACAGACCGTTTAATAAGAAGATATTTTATAAAGACAGTCCACTTCGTGTATACAGACAGGAGCCATCTTTGGAAAACAGTCTCGACTAATCAAACCACTTATTAAAAGCCATCAAAGTGGTAGTTGTGTAGCTGTCAATTAGTTGCCGAGGCTTTTTATTTAAAATTTCAATTAATCTGATAGAATGGTTTTAATCATTTTTGTTTTAGTTTCACTTAACAATAACAACAACACTGGACTCTATATATGCGCTTTATTGTGTTGTCAAAAACAAACACGCAGCACAACCAACAAACGACTCTTATAAACTCTTACGAATCTTCATAAATCACTCAAAGACTCACAAACTCGAATGAATTAATGGTTGAATCTGTGAGAGCGGTTACTGAATTAATACCTCTGACTGCATGTTTGTGTGAGGTTAAAATAGTAGCTCACCTAAAAATGTAAAATCTGTCATCAGTTATGTATTCTCTTTCAATGACTTTCTTCTGTGGAACTAAAATGGAGTTATTTATAGTCGATGGAGTTATTTATAGTTTAGGCCAATGTTTTCCACGTAAACGGTTGTCAAGCAAGATTTTCAGTTTCAGCTTGCTCCTCACACACATCAGTAATACCACTAGATTTGGGATAACGTGTACAAGTTGTTCTTGTACTGATGTTTTGATGCTTTTATGGTGTTTTTGGGGAGTTTAACAGCCCCTTCTCACCATTCACATTCTTCTTTCCCAAACCTAGACATGGCCTGAATCTTAAAACAGTACAAACAACTGAACGGTTGTTAACAATCACAGCCTCATTTCATTTGTATCAATTGACCTATGGCTAAGCCACGCCCCCAAACGCGATGAGCCAATCAGTGCGCTTAGCTAACCCAATACACTCGGACATTCTCTGCTTCCACGTCCATTGAAATGCATTGCAGTTAGTCAGTTTTCATCCATTGTTATATGTTTTTTCTTGTCGTTTTAAGTTTAAAATGGTCAAACGGTGTGCATGGGGTACATGCAACTCCGACACTAGGTATCCCGAGAAGCTGGGCGACAGTGTGTATTTTTTACCCTTTCCCAAGCCACATCTCAACCGAGATAAGTATCTGCTCTGGATCAAGTTATGCGGTAACGTTAGACCACAACACCAACTAAACGTGGATAAATTAAACAAGAATGTCTGTCAGAATTAAACAAGGATGTAACGTTAGCTTCTAGCTGCGTTGTACATCATGTCACTTAGCTTCATTAACGTATCTGTAAATAGCCGAGATGACAAATGTTAGCAATGTTGTGCTGAATGATTCAGGTAAATACTGCAGTGCATGAACAATGCTGATCCTCTTGTTGTCTGAGATGGTGATGGCAACGAGATGCGGTTTATCACGTTTACACTGTGACCTGTAAATGTTTGCCTGGAGCTGAAGCTTTTCATCAACCTTCTCAACAATAAAATTATGAATATAACCCTCCAATGAATAGTTAATGCCCTTTTGGTGACTTCGAGATGATATATAATCTTTCTGTCTCCAAAAATCATCAATTGCCTCCCGTGAAATGTCTCCTACTGTGACAGCTGCCATAGCGCTTGTCACCGAATGTTGACCGTTTGTCCGAGTAAGTGGAGGGGGCGTGGCTTAGCCATAGGTCAATTGTAGAATACAGTCCATATCCATGAGAACATTATCCCTCCCTTGTTAAACACTACTCGTTTTTGTCCTTCTTTCTCCTCTGCTGCGGGCGGTTCTACAGAACGAGAGTAATGTCTACATTTGTCTCTGTTCCTGGATGTCTGAGTGTAGGAGGAAAGTGGGCACAGATGGATTGTGGGTAGTGTTACGGATGTGCGCTGCTTCACCAACCCACACACATACAGATCATCATCACCCGGGCCGTGTCGAACCTTGCCTTTCCTGCGTTCAGTAATGAAGGACTTCAGGTTCATGTAGTTCCAGACACACACACACACACACAAAAACTCAGAGAAAACAAGTACGCACACAAAAGAACTCATGATCACGTGTGGGCTGAAGTGGTGCTTAATAACAATCACAAACACACATGAATGCAAATGATCCCAAACAGCTTTTCATCCTTTATGCTGCTCTTTATACGTCCATCACTCACTTCGAGAGAAAGAGAGATGAAAGAGAAGCAACCGCAAAGGAGCAGAGACAAAGAAGAGAGGACACAACTGAATTCAGCCGTTATACCAAGCAATGCATATACAAACACACAACAGGCAGGCAGTAACATAAACACCCTGAAGGTCTGTCCACATAGTGCCGCCCACAGACTGCAGACAGAACATTGCAACACGTATACAGTATGAGGAGCGAGAGCCATTGCATACACTCACAACACACTCACCAGGTCATCCAGCGCGTAACGCAGGAGTCCGTGTTCATACAGGAGGAAAAAGCGTCTCTGCCATTTCTGTAAGAGAAGAAAACAAGATTGCATAAGCGAAAAGTGAGGGTGTTTTAAAAAAGTGTGCTTTAAGTGTCTAAATACTTTTTTTGTGCCACTGTATATTAATTATAATGTTTATAAAATCATGCGGCCTGATTGATATGGTGCCCGACTGATTTGGTGTCTCATTTGGTGTTATTAAATTGCATATATATATGTATGTATATGACCCTGCTCTTCAGCGCTTTAGATATCAGCAATAGCCGTTTGGTTGACCACTACACATCCTACATTTACATACTTATATATACTACATATGCTTTGAGTTATTTTTATCATATTTCCATCTCGTTTGTCAATCTGTGATTTCCTGTTTGCTGTCGAATTGTTTCCCATCCCACAAACTCCCTCTCCTGCTGTTTCTCACGAGTTCAGCTTGAGAGACCGAGAGTGAGTCAGCGACTCCACGGCCCCCTCACACACACACACACGCACGCACACACACACACGACTCGTTCGTTCGTTCCTTGACAAGCACACATACAGTACACACACACACACACACACACAGATAGACACACTCAAATACACACAGAAAAGCAGCAATCTCTTCTCACACACAATGTGAGTAAAGCAATAAAGAAAAAACTACTGGTCCTTCGGTGAAATAAATATAATGCATGACATCTAATATATATATATATTAAGCTGTTCTGTTGAGATGGACTTTTTAAGATTACGGTCCCAGAGACCCAATGGCACACATGTAAAAAATAACCATTATATATAAATTTTAGAATTATTAAAACTTATTACATTTATTGTAATAAAATAATAGGAATTTACTAACAAATTTAGAAATTAATTATAAAATAATCCTATTATTAATCTCATGTTATTTTCTCCTTTAATCATTTTAATAATTTCATCTGACACAATAAAAGACCAATGAATTTTACTTTTTAGAACTTTAACTTGATTTAAAAATCATTAAGTAGCAACCTGATCCTAAAATGTTTCTTTTTGACCTATTAAAATGGCCCCAAAGAGAACAGAGAGTGTTGAAAAGTCACCTTTTGACATTAAAAAAAAAAAAAAAAGAAAAAAAAAAAAGTAAGCATTCCTTATCCCAAAAAAATGTTCCTTTTGATAATGGGGTGAAATATGACCTGGACATTTCTTGCCAACATCCATGAGATTCCCTCTATTAGTGCAGGTGAGAACAGCAGAACAGCACATTCTAGAATATGTCTAAAAATAATTTTTGTTGGACATTTTTGCCAAAATGAACTCGTTAAGTTAAAAACTGCAGCGCTGCATTATAATCTATTTTCCGTGGCATGTTCTTGTTGACATTTTTCCTGGGCTTTACATTACATTAACATTTATGCATTTGGCAGACGCTTTTATCCAAAGCGACTTACATTGCATTTTAAGGTACACATTTACATTCTTATCAGTTCTTGCTTTCCCTGGGAATCGAACCCATGACCTTGGCGTTGCAAGCGCCGACGCTCTACTGTTTGAGCTACAGAAAAGCTTTAAAGAGCCGTGCAGTCATACGAACCCGTGATCTGTGCAGAGGATTGTCAAAGTTTGTTCCTTCAGGTGCCAGGAGCAGCCATCCACCGTAGATGGGTTTGGCCTGAAACATGCAACACATGATAAGAACAATAAAAAGGGGTATGAGTACATAAGTTTTACTTCTTCCTACTCCTTTTTGTACATGTAAATAGAGGGTTTTTTAAGTACTGGAAAGTATGGAGTTTTATTTTGTTGTTCATCTGTTTTTTTTTACCATTATTTTTTTTATTATTGTATTTACATGTTCAAAATAAAGATATCAATCAATCAAAAAACTTTAAAACTTATTTTTAACACTGTTGTGGCATCTCAGTGGCAGCGTTTTCAGATAAACCTGCTCCTACCGGAACAAACTGTAATGTCAATCAGACTGTCTCTTTTTGTCTGGAATGTGGAACATTCACACACACACACACACTTACATGTCTCAATGCGCATTAAACTGGGATTTAAAAAAAAGTATTTCAACATCCAACAACACACACTATTGTGGAACCATGCCAAAGAAAAGTACCAAAACATCTCTGCATGTGACGCTCCTGTGACTGCACAACAAAGTGCCGACAAATGGATTTGTGATCGTACAGAAACTCCACAGAAAACGCACAAAAGAGAAACATGAAACACAAGGGGAAAATGTACTACTCAGAGGTTCCTCTTTCAAAGCTCAGCAGACTTATTGGAGATCTCAGATACGTTTCATTTTAGAACGTAAAACTTGTTTTTATGTTTCTCCAAAAATGCCTTAAGAGAAGAGAAACAAACTAGACTACAGGTGAAACTCGAAAAATTAGAATACGGTGCAAAAGTTCATTTATTTCAGTAATTCAACTTAAAAGGAGAAACTAATATATTATATAGACTCATTACATGCAAAGTGAGATATTTCAAGCCTTTATTTGTTATAATTTTGATGATTATGGCTTACAGCTTATGAAAACCCCAAATTCAAAATTAGAATATTGTGAAAAGTTTTCATAGCTGTAAGCCATAATCATCAAAATTAGCCGCAATTCTGTCTTTTTTTCTCACAATTGCGACTTTATTTCTCATAATTGCGACTTTATATCTCGCAATTGCGACTTAATTTCTCATAATTGCGACTTTATATCTTATAATTGCGACTTTATATCTCGCAATTGCGACTTTATTTCTCATAATTGCGACTTTATTTCTCATAATTGCGACTTTATATCTCGCAATTGCGACTTTATTTCTCAGAATTGCGACTTTATTTCTCATAATTGCGACTTTATATCTCATAATTGCGACTTTATATCTCGCAATTGCGACTTTATTTCTCATAATTGCGACTTTATTTCTCATAATTGCGACTTTATATCTCGCAATTGCAACTTTATTTCTCAGAATTGCGACTTTATATCTCGCAATTGCGACTTTATTTCTCATAATTGCGACTTTATTTCTCATAATTGCGACTTTATATCTCGCAATTGCAACTTTATTTCTCAGAATTGCGACTTTATATCTCGCAATTGCGACTTTATTTCTCAGAATTGCGACTTTATATCTCGCAATTGCGACTTTATTTCTCAGAATTGCGACTTTATATCTCGCAATTGCGACTTTATTTCTCAGAATTGCGACTTTATATCTCGCAATTGCGACTTTATTTCTCAGAATTGCGACTTTATATCTCGCAATTGCGACTTTATTTCTCAGAATTGCGACTTTATATCTCGCAATTGCGACTTTATTTCTCAGAATTGCGACTTTATATCTCGCAATTGTGACTTTATTTCTCACAATTCTGACTTCATATCTCGCAATTGTGAGATAAAAAGTCGCAATTATTATTATTATTTTTTTAATTCAGTGGCGGAAACAAGCTTCCATAGGTCACAGATGTCTTTTTCTCAGAAAAAAAACCCCATCTGAGAAGCAGGAGACTTCAGCAAAAGCCTCCATTTCATCTCTTGCTGTCTAGGAGATATTAAAGAGATCTCAGCTTTGATTTTTCTCCACTAAGGTACAGAAAAGAAAGAGTGACAAATGAATGCCAGTTTATTGTCTGGTTAAAGGAATGTCGGTTTAACAACTTGAACGATGGCCCGTGAAAAAGTCTGAGCAAAAGAAGAAGAAAAAACGCTAGAAAAATATAAGTCTCCTCAGATCAAGTGCAGGATGAAAAAAACAAACAAAGGGACATTAATTTCTTTAGTTCTTGCACAGCAGCACTGTACGGACTCAGACCATTTTGGTTAGGGTTCAAAATACTTATCTAATTAATTCAGCAGAACAATTATCTGTGGATAAAATCTTCATTTTGTAAACTGATTTCATCCAATTCCATATCAATGACGTCATCATAATTGCATACTGAATTGCATTTGGTTAAACTAAAAGTTTAACACTACACTTGCTGCACTTTTTTCCTTTAAGAAATGTAAATCTAGTTTCTCCTGATCTTCTGCTAATGGGAGACTCAGTGCTCTGGGAAATCAGTGATGAGGAGCGGACAGGGACGCAGAGAGAGAGAGAGAGAGAGAGAGAGAGGGGCTAATGTAGGCCAGATTTTCCTCTTCAATGGTTAAAGTTTGTTCTGTTTATTTTTACAGCCCCCCTTTTTCTCTCATAACAGCGGAACTGAGCGCCGACTGTCTCACAGAGTGTGTGTGTGTGTGTGTGTGTCAAGGGGGAGGGTGGATTCTAATAGCATGACAAAAAGCATGGACATAAATATGTGTGGAATGAACAACTCAGAAAAACCTGACCAACTGCAGCGAGCGAGCGAGTGAGAGCGAGAGATGGGTATTTTATTGATGCCTGACAGAACGACGGCCCTGAATCATTACGACGGCCTCATGTGACGTACACCTGAACAACAACAACTCCGGATTTTTGCATTTTTTGATGACAATGTCAGTGATGTTTGCCAAACAAAACACACCCCCATGATGTTAGTAAGTTATTGTTGGTTGCTATGCTATTTCGCAATGATCTGAATCAAACTGTCCATTGAAGAAAATCGATTTCTAACTCCGATACGATAATTATGGCATCATTCAAAACCTTCAATGAAGTCTTCGTATGGCTTTTTTCCCCCCAAGTATTGAAATGTTTAAATAGAGAATATCTAGTCTAATCTCAAATATTGCTGGTCTTCGTCATGTACATGTAAAACACTTGATACAGAATATTTTTGCCAAGATGAAATCAAACTGACTTCACACATTATTACAACAAATGCGTTTTAGTGGCATATAATAAAAACAAGATTATGAAGTCGTAGAAATTACAGGATTAAAGATGTGTAAACCTTTGAGCATGAAGTCAAAATAACAAAAATAAAGTCCTAGTATTACGAGAGTAGTTTTAGCAATATGGTACAGAGGTTTTAATTTGAAATAAAAAAGTAATATTTTAAGAATAAAGATTGCCCAGGCGTTCTATAAATAGTTTTTTTTTTAAATCAAATGAATTAACTTTATTCAAACAATATACTACTTTATTCTTAAAATATAATGACTATAATCTTGTACTGCTTTGACTTAATTCAAGTAACACTATGACTTTATAATTTTTACAACTTTAATCTAGCATTGCTACGACTATTTTTGCAATCTTCTATTTTTTTTTATATGACACTAAAATGCTGTTGTACATTATTACCTTCACATTATTCTAAAAAGCATAACGATTCTCCTTTTCAGCTGATGTCACCAAGTCCTTTTACTTTTTCAAACACCTGTAATGCATAGATATTTTTAATAGAATTAAGCCAATTGAATACCCTGATTTACTTGGCAAATGGCAATAGTAAAAAAAAAAAAAGTTAAATTGGTTCCTTGTGGACCTTTCGGGCAGGAAGACAGAAGGACATGAGAATTAAATACTAAAGAAGTCTGCTGGGACTTGATTCTGAATTGAAAGTTATGAAAAAATTAAAAATCGATATATGACTTTGACTGCCTTAACAGGTACTAAAGACCTGATTCATTTCACTGTCAACTCAATTTCTAAGTGCTTTCTAAAAAAAGACATCTGTGCTGCTTTGAGGCTCATTTCTCTGAAGCGCTCACTTGCGTGCCCAAATATTCAGTGTTTCTTTGCTTCATCACTTCATTCTTTGATAACAATCCAACCTATACAGTGAGACAGATGGCAAACGGAGGCCACGTCACCTCAGTAATATAGTCGAGACCCAGCTGTGGTAATTTTTAAGGATACTGTCTGGAATCCCCCGGCATCTGCGTGTGGCCTTACAGTAAAACCGTTCTGGAGCTGGAATCTGGGCTCGAAATAGTGCTGACGCTCCGATATGAGACGTACCTTTGGTCTACAACTGGTAAAACGACACTAAACGGTTCCACTGATTAGTAAATTAGCAGACAATTTTAGCCAAAATAAGAGTTAGACCTAAAAGAGTCAAGATCCCAATTGTGATGGATTCGAACCCACAATCTTTCAGTTAACAGATTTTTAACCATGCAAAACTGGTTTAAAACTTAGAAACAACGAATACAGCAGCTTGAGGCAGGTCGCTTAACTACCCTGTGCATCTGTTAAACTGCATCATTAATTACAACTAATCACTAATTAGTCATCTGGCTGACACCTTTACCCAACGCAACAGTTCATCCGAAATGGGTCAGTCCTCAAGGGGGTAACCTGAGGTTAAGTGTCTCAATCAAAGCCGTAATGGTAATTAGTATGGATTAACCTCTCTGGGGTTTGAACCTACAACCTTTCAAGCAGCCCTTATATTTAACCACTACGCCAAAGCACATGCTATTGGATGTCATTATTACAAACCTGTGATCTAGATTTACAGACAACAGTAAACAAGGGGAATTCAGATTAATTTGACTCACTTTTTGAGTCATCTGAATGTCTAAAAGTAGTTCAATTACAGTAGTCAAATTCACCTTATATACCCTGGTAATGGTTACAATATGCATAAACAATGATAATCAATTTACCTCCAACAATACCATGGAATGATTGAACTATTGAAACATTGGTTAACATGCCAAAAACATGGTATTATGACTTAGTTTTAGGTACCATGGTATTGGTAGTGAAGTTTTGAAGTTGTTTGGTGATTATCCAGTGCCCCAGATTGGCTTTAATGTGCTATATATACAATATAGTAAGTTTTTTCCCCCATTATACTCCACTTATCTCCAACAATACCATGACATTACCATGGTACATGTCCCAAAAAACATGGTATTTTGGTGAGGTCACTCATGTTGTGCTAAATGTCATTCTCTACAATAGAATATAGAAACATAGTATTAGCATGGGACTTTATTGTTAGTGGTCAGCAGTTTGCTGGTCATTACTTATTTGACACGGTAAGTTATTAGACGGAGCATTAGTCTAGTCGAGCATCAGAAACTAGATTAAAAAGTTTCAAGACAAACTTTGAAGTTGGCTTGAAAAAGCCTATAGCCAGAAAGTAGTTTTGACAGCTTTAAGTTTGAAGATTTTCAGTTGTAATAGTTTTAGGTTCTAGTTTTGTAGTTTTAAAACAGATAGATAGATAGATAGATAGATAGATAGATAGATAGATAGATAGATAGATAGATAGATAGATAGATAGATAGATAGATAGATAGATAGATAGATAGATAGATAGATAGATAGATAGGATTATAAATATTAGATAGATAGATAGATAGATAGATAGATAGATAGATAGATAGATAGATAGATAGATTATAAATATTAAATAGAGATAGATAAACTATAGATAGATAGATAGATAGATAGATAGATAGATAGATAGATAGATAGATAGATAGATAGATAGATAGATAGATAGATAGATAGATAGATAGATAGATAGATAGGATAAAAAAAACATTAGAAAGAATGGAAGCTTAAATTAGTCTCAATTGCATAGAAATAGTACATAGAATGGGAGCTAATGGAGTCTAATGAGCCTCTCCAACTGTTAAAATTTGAATTTTGAGTTTCAACAGTCTCAACTAAATGATTAGGTAGTTAAGTTTTGTAGATATATTACCTGTGATAAGTCTTCATCACTCAGCAGGTGCGCGTCTCGAGCCTTGAAGCAGTTCTGGCATTTACTCTTGTTGAAAATATTGGCCTGAAATTTTCGGCAGGCGTTATCTTTCGCTGACATACTCTGTGCCATGAGTGTGTGTTTGTGTTCCCGTTTTCCCGTTATTTTAAAAACTGCGCAATAATTCCACCGGAGAGTCCTCCCCCGCGCGATGCAGTCCGACCCTCATCACAAACTCACTGCGATAATCATTTATTTATGCACAATCATCTGACCGGACCCACACTAAGGGGACGATGATAATAATAATAACAATAAAAAAATAATAATATAATTAATTTAGCAAAAAAGTTTTAATTTAGCCAAGCTCTCTTGGATTGATTTCTGAAGGGATTCAGTCCGGGACATTCCGCGCTCTCGATCCATGCGCGTCCCCGATCCCCCGCAGGCACACGGACGCGCGCTGATGCGTTACAGTGCGAGTTCCAAAATAATGTGGCAAACTTGTACAAACACTCTAAGTAAATGGTGATGGAGAGGAGGTGTTTACTTTCCACTAGCTCACGGCTTCCGACGAACCTTTCAGCGATACGTGAAGACAACTATCCCGAAACTCCATGTTGTGGAACAGTGTGGATTCTACAGAGGGTTTTCGGTCCGAAGACGGATTTTTGCAGGTTTGGATGGGCACGGTGGGTCCGTTTCCCACGGTCACAGCTGATCACACGGGTTCTCCACACATACTACACACTCAACACACATACACACGCAGGAATGAAGGGGGCGGGGCGCGACTTAACTGACATGTGGTGTAAACCAATCACAATAAGGGACACGCCTACTATTTGTAGTCAGAGTACGTCAGTGTCCAATCAGATTGTTCAATCACACTGATTTTATGGAATAACAGGAATCAAGGTCGGTGGACTGTGCACGGTGTAAACTGAAGTTATTTAAACTTACAAGCAGGATCTTTTATGCATTTAAACTGCGTTTTAGTGATTTCGTCTAGTTATAAAGTGAAAAATGACGACACTAAATAATGCATGCGTTAAGATATTTGATAACTATCCATGTAACGCCCCCAGATAGTGACCAATCCTACCTGAGAGGCTCTCCTGCGCCCCCGTTCGGCTTAAATGTGGAATGAGAGCCTGGATTAAAACATATTTTATTTATTAAAATATTTTAAATGCCATTTCATTGTATAATAAAATAATGCTAATTGTATATATATATATATATATATATATATATTTAAAATAATGATTTTTATTATTATATTATTAGTATATCTTAAGTTAAAAAACTAAAACGTCACGATATCTTAAGTAAAAAACTTAACAAAATATATATTTATAATTGTATTATATTTGAAAAAAACATTTTTCAGTTTTTGCACGTATATATAGTAATTGTGCAATGAAATTTCAAAAAGTAATATTTGTAATCTCTTGGTGGCACAAAACTTTAATTTTGTAAAAAAAAAAATATGCCTAAAAATTAGCAAAATGCATATTATTTCATCATAGACACATTATTACCAGTATGTAATCAGGCATTAATACAAGTTCACAAGCAGTATTAACAATTGAATCTGATCAAGTTCACCACGGTTTGAAAATGACATAACAGTAAATTTACAGATAGAAACCTCTGATTTCCTCAAATGAGTCAGACAACAACATTGTTCATACGTGACAAAGCAGATGTTTGTTTGTTTGATATTATAAAACAGATACCATACCAGCTTCCTCAATAAAAAGAATGATGATTCATTTCTCATTTCTGACAGTCAAGACTAGTTTAGGAATGGCCTAAACTTATGTTAGAGTTAATACTGAACTTTATATGACACACTTGGGAGAGCACATGTGTGTTCCCTTTAGTAACGTCCAATGTCCCAGAATAAGGGAGAAGAGAGTCAGAAGGTCTTCTAGGTCCTGTTGATGGAGGGAGCGTTGCTGATCTCCTCGTTGTCCTCTTCATTCATCAGCGGTTCTCTGTCTGTCTGAGCGGGACTCGGAGCCGTGGATCTCTTAGTGGTCTTATTGAGAGTGCTTCCCTGTAAACACACACGTGTGTCATTGCATTTAAATAATAGCTGGAAACATAAAACTGTTCATATTCTACTTCATTTTATCTGTCGATTAAAATGCACTGATAAATGATGCACAATAAGATCAGAAATGTACATAACACAGGTAAATAGGGTTCATTTTCAGTTCATTTTCACTGCATTAGGTCATGAACAACACTGTCACAGCAGGACAATCCAATCCACCTCTATTAAAATGGACTGATACGCTTTTAAAGCCAACAATAACCACTGCTATTCCAAAGTACTGTTGACTCAAACCTCAGTTCATGTGTCAGGCGGCAGAATCGGACTATAAGACACTGATATCAGTTTCTCTATCAGTGTTACTCATTTCTAACAAATGATGTAGTAGAAGACATTAAAAAAAGCTGTAAAATGTCCATGCCAAAGAAGTTTGTAAATGGAAAAGGCTGAGGTGGGTGAGCTGAAAGATTTATATAATTACCGGTAAGTCCAAAAAGAGAAGAAGCTCACACAAATAATCGTACAATTTCTTAAAATTAGAATAGTTTTTTTAATGCTTACAAAACCAATTTTAATATTATATACTGTGTGTATTACTGTAAATACTTTTAGATATTAAAATAATTATTTCATTATATTATTGTATATCTTGAAATATATTTTTAAAAATACTTGTATATATATATTTTAATAAAATATCAATTTATAATTTCATTATATTAAAATAAACATTTCATTTTTTGCATACTGTATGTGTATACAGTAATTGTGCAATGAAATTTCAAAAAGGAACAATATTCTTAGTCCCTTGGTGACACAGAACTACTATAAAAACCTAAAAATGGAGAAATTGTTTTGTGATAAATTTTCTATGATTATGAGTGCAAGCTTCTCCTCTTGTCGGACCTAACTATTGATGGAGACGATAATTATAATTATGCCGGTCAAGGTTGCGTGAAATCATACGTCTTTGAACATCATACCAATGTGAAGTGTCACTCGACTCGTCCTGCTCGCCCTGTTCTACAAACTCTTCACAGTTCTCGTCTGTTCATACTGTTGCTATGGTTACCGGAGGTTACCAATCTATGATGGGATCTATGGTGATTCAGAGAGATGTGGCGATAGTGGGCGGGTGTGTGTGTGTGTGTGTTACCTGTCTGTAGTCAACGATGTTGAGTATTGCAGAGGTGATTATACAACTGATGGTATTGGCCAACATGAAGATCATCATATATTGCCATCTCCACAGCGGGATCTTAACATCACTGACACACAAAACACATATTATGGTATAGACACGGTACTATACATTAAATATATTGTGTGTGTGTGTGTGTGTGTGTGTGTGTGTGTGTGTGTGTGTGTGTGTGTGTGTGTGTGTGTGTGTGTGTGTGTGTGTGTGTGTGTGTGTGTGTAGAAAAAACAAGTTGTATAAAAACATTAGAAAAAACAAGTTGTGTATCTGTGTATATATATATATATATATATATATATATGTGTGTGTGTGTGTGTGTGTACTGTATGTATACAACTATTTTTTTTTGATTGACTTTAATATACATATTTTAGAATAATATAAGGTACTTTAGACCTTCAGAAGTAGTGCGGTAAAAGATCTATAAATGAGCAGGTGTGTAATCCATACTTAGACACCGATGATGATGTGATATCGAAAACGTGTATTTTTTCACTTTTTTATTTTTACTGCTTCTGAATGAAGACTTCTGAAGACTTTTTTATCTTGAAGGACATTGTGCGTGGGCTTTTGTGCAGAATATCATAATACTGTCATGGTGCCTTGTCCAAAATACATGGTAATATTTTTTGTTAGTATAATGAACATAATGAAAGTGCAATGAACACAAATGTCACCTGGACTTGGTGCCCAGTATCTGTCCCACCACCAGATTGGAAATGCCGATGCCAATCATCTGTATGGATGTGGCCAATCCCATCGCAGTGCCCAATGTGGCTTGAGGCACCACCAGTGGGATAGAAGGCCACATGCTCGCCTACAGCACATAAACGCAATAGAAAACACGTGAAAAACCTGCCAGTCCAACAGCAAGAATCAAACATGTACATTAACCTGTAGTGCATATATTCTTCTTTTGTTTCACTTTATCTGCAAAACAACTAAATTCAGAATCCTGGCACAATATTTTTAAAGTAAAATGCAACAACACACAAACACAAGAGAAAAAAGATGCAAAACTGAAACCCTGAAATATAATTTTAGTGTATTTCTCTTTTCTAGTTACCTAGAGGAAACCCTATACCCCACTCTGCCCTATTGAGCTTGCATGAACATCTCAAATTAATTTCTCATATTTCAAAATGTCAGCATCGTCTTCAGTAATTGGAGAATGCTGAATACTTCAACCAATCACAATCTCTCTTACAGTGTTTGCTGACCACACACTTGAGCATGCTGCAATACTCCAATAGCATTGTATAGTTCACGTCAATCCATAGTGTCTGCTGTGTGTGTGTGTGTGTGTGTGTGTGTGTGTGTGTGTGTGTGTGTGTGTGTGTGTGTGTGTGTGTGTGTGTGTGTGTGTGTGTGTGTGTGTTTGATACTCACAGCAGCAAATGAGTAAGTGATGCCGAGCCAGATGGTGGATACGAGAGGAGGGACGAACGTGAAGGCCAGCAGACCAAACACAGGCAGTGTCAACACGGCACAGAGCCCTGCAAACACACCGCGCAGACCCACATAGTCCTACCACACACACAGAAACAACGTGTTCATGTTTTCAAAAGAAGATTTTTCTACTCACCAAGGCTGCATTATTTTGATCAAAAATACAGTAAAGTCATTAATATTGTGAAATATTATTACAATTCAAATAAACTGTTTTCTATTGTAATATATTTTAAAATGTAATTTATCAAGGCTGAATTTTCAGCATCATTACTCCAGTCTTCAGTGTCACATGATCTTTCAGAAATCACTCTAATATGATGATTTGCTGCTCAAGAAACATTTCTGATTATTATCCATGTTGAAAACAGTTGTGCTGCTTTTGTGGAAACCGTTCTTCGCTAAATTTAAAAAGAACAGCATTTATTTGAAAAATAAATCTTTTGTAACATTATAAATGTCTTTACTGTCACTTTTGATCAATTTAATGCATCCTTGCTGAATAAAAGTATGAATTAATTTAAAAAGAAAAACGTTTGAACAGTAGTGTGTGCCTGTGTGTGCAAGCATGTAAATGAAACATCTGTGGAGTGTATGTCTGTGTGTTTGTGAGTGTTAGTTAGACGTACGATGAGGATGCCGACAGCGGCAGACAGCACCAGTGAACTGTCATACACAGCGCCCGCGATGTACGCCGCCTCCTTCTGACTGTACCCGCTGTATTTATCCTGGATAAACTTACTAAAAACACACATACAGCAACACATACATGAACAACGTGTACTAACCCAGTTTAATCTAGAAACATTTATGTGCTTCATGACTGTACCTGGCATCAGCGATGAAGGGGAAGATGCCATTATAAAAGAACATGATGGTAAGAACCAGCAGCCAGTATCTGAGAGACAGACTCTTCACATCCTGAACTCTCTACATACAAAAACACACAATATATACCAGCTGTATCACTACAACAAATTATCATCAACGTGAAAATACTATATATATATAGTAGTCAACATTAGAAGTGGATCAAATAAGTTCATCAATGTTGTCCTACGACAAGAAAGGGTATTGTTCAAAATCCATGTATAACTTTGATGAAAGGTTTTGATCCACTTCAAATGTTGACTACTGTATATATCATTATTATATTATACTCCAGCAATAGTAAAACTAGTGTGCTGTTGTACTATGCCATTCTAAACATGAGCTTTGCCATCTATATCTGTCTCACCACTTTGCGTGACTCCTCCTGAATCACTCCATCCAACCCAAGCTGCTTCATGCCCACCCTATCCAGAACACTGACCGTTACAGCCGACAGGAACCCAAGAACACACAGGAACGTGCCTGTACACACAAAACAGATGCGTGGTGTGTATTTCCAATATTCCCAGGACGCCACATCCAAGGTTTAGCTGTTGCATGTTGAGTTTCTTACCTCCCCACAGCGTCCACTGCATCCCGTACTGAGACTCAAACCTCTGCGTGAGGAAGAAGTTCAGAACCGAGCCCAACCGAGAGAAGGCCAGGGTCAGTCCGAACGCCAGAGCCAGCTCCTTCCCCCGGAACCAGAACGCCGTGATACGGTTCTGGACAACTGAGAAAGCAAGAGAGACACATGAGAGTTAATGTAGCTTTCTCATTGGTGCTTTTTTCATGGGTGTGTTTGTAAAGTCTTCGTTTACTGAGCGAGTAAAGAATCAGAGAAAGAAAAAGCGCGTTTTTGTGCTGTTGGATACTTTAGGGACTTTGTAGAGTTTACGATCATAATGCAGATCAATAGCCAGCGGAAATTCATTTAAAAATGTTTGACATTTTGTGACATTTCTGAACTAGATAAAAGGAGATTTTGTTAAAAAATGTGACTAAATAACCAATATACTAAATCATGAACTAAATTTAATAACCTCATGGTCAAAGAGGCATCAGTGGAAAAGGAAAGAACGTTCTCAGTAAAGATTGCAAAAATAATGTTTTTCTTTGGAACAGCAAGCACATATGAATCATGCACAATAAGACTTTATAAAATTAAATTATGTATTATGAAAATAAATATGGTCACTTTAGACTCACATTAAACGTAACGTGCAGAAACCCCCATTAGTAGGTAAAACGCGTGAAAGAAATGGGCAGATGAGCATCTTCATTAGAATATGAAAATAAAATCAGTCATCTTGTAATTTTTGCAATTCATTTTGGTGCCACTTGTGGTGCAGAAATGACTTTGGAGTTGATTTACTTGACAATCACTTTCCTTTACAATAATTTCCTTTAATTAGAGTTAATTTTACTTTACTACTTTGTTTTCAATTTTATCATTTTATCATTCCTTTTACTCTTGATCCTTTCTTTTCTATATATACACACATGCGTGTACACAGAGTTCCTGAAAACCACAACAAATTCCTGTGCATACTTGGAGAATTAAGCTCATTTGAATCTGAATTCAGAACTAAAGATATGGTGTTTCTAGAGTTAAACATGCACAATGTCAGTGGTGTTATGGGTGAATATCTGATGTCATACTGGTCAGGGATCCGTTTCCAGATCCAAACAGAAGTCGTCCAGTCAACATGAGGGGCAACAGGTACGTCGTGCCCTTAAAATGAGACCCCAATGCAAAGATCGCTGAGCCCAACACAGTCAGGAAGGAGAAGAGAAAAACGCCAACTACAGGAGAGAAAACCCAAACACTTACGTCAAACTTTACACACACACACACACACACACACACACACACGTATTCAAGATAGAATACTGAATATTGACAAAATCAGACGGATTTCAAAACAGCTTGTTAAAGAAAACGAAAATTCATTCCAACTTACAGCGGTTTCCCAACTTATCAATGAGGAATCCCGCCATGATGACCACCACAGCATTCCTGCGAAAACAAAATAAGAGTCCTTTTACAGATGATAAAGAGAATGAAGCTTTAGAAGATGACAGACAGTGATTATCTGGATGGGCGAGTCAGGAATATTATAGAGAACGAAAAATAAAAATAAAACCATTAAAAAAATTTGATAAACATGAACTGAAATATGACAGTATGTCAATGATACTAAAACAACAATGGTGTGAGCATAGATATCCATAATAAAGGCTAGATGTCTTCTCTATCGTCATCACCGGTGGCCATCTTGTCACAGGCAAGCTTTCTGGCGGGCTCTGTGGTGCCTGATGTAAGATGAGTGATCAGCACGAACACAAATACTCTTATCTCGTTGAAATTTTGACGGATTTACAAACTTTGGTTTGGTTTCTTACAAACGTTACTATCGTGGCTATAATTCTGGATGATTATTTATTTATACACTTATTATTCATTAATATGCAGTGTCAGAACTACATCTCTGACGTTTATAACAAACCAAACCGTTTGAAAATCGGTAGAAATTTAGCAAGTTATGGTAATTTAAAAAGTACATGCACCATTAAAACACAATGTTACGAGAGAGCGAGCTGCCTGTGACAAGATGGCCGCCAGGTGCAGACGTCGACCTCCATTGGCCAGCAGCGCGGACGAGACATCCAGCCTTTATTATAGATATCTATGGGTGTGAGACTTACGTCCAGGCGTAGACGGCGTAGAGCAGGTTATACTCCTGTGGTGTCATTCCCAAACCTTCCACACACGTTCCTGTGCCATTACCAGTGCTGTTACTCACCGTCCCGTTCGAACATGTCAAATTCTGTAGGAAACAACACAGGCTGTGCATTCAGGGCCTTACTTTTCTGACCTAGAGCCTAAAACAGGGAGGTTTATGTGTAATATTTGTTACTCTCATGATCTTAAAGGGGTCATATCATACATTATTTTATTATATTAGTAAAGACTTTTACCAGTAAAACAGTCATAATTTAGTTTTTCGTGGTTAATTTGGCTATTTATGACATGACTTCATGTTATTTTACTCTTATCATTATTTCTTCTGTGGTTTGGAACAATTGTATTGATCCTGCTCTCCTCATTACCTCATTGTGACTGGACGGGGCATTCAATAGATCAATAGTATTCATCTATCAAACACTGGAAAGTTGCAGAAGTTTATGCAGCTCATTTTCAACAAATGCTCTGTTGTATATGTGAATGCTGTTGCATATAAATCAAAATATCAAGGCACATTTGATTCTTTATAATATGACCCCTTTAAAACTGCCTAAACTAGGATTAAGCGATGTGAAAGTGAGGTCAGAGGTCAGTAAGTTGCTCCTCACCCCCTGAAACTGCTCCTGCAGGACACTGGGAATGTCAAAGCAGAAATAAGAGCCGAAAGTCAGCATACAGTTAAAAAACAGGACCACGAACCGGTAGTAGGCTGTAAATACACACATAAACACAACATTAGACACAGAGAGAGAGAGAGAGAGAAAGAGAAGAGTTAGTCATCATGTGTCAGGTTACATCTAAGCTAACACAGAAAACACTACTTGTGGAGTATGAATCTCATATGAATTATGATATTTAATGTGCATGAAACTTGGTTTAACATTAAATCTGTCTTTGTTTACAAACTGAGAGCTCATTTAAATGGCTCTAAATTCACAAACATTCTGAAACATCAGTGAAAAGATTAATTTACCTTGTTCTGCTGCTTTGGCCATCTCGACCCCAGATCAATCTCCGCAGTCTTCCCATATAATCTAGTGTGATTTATTTTTGTTTATGTGGCCCAGTCAGGAGGCGATCTTCAAAATGTGCAGCTTGTCCAGGAGCAGTCGCTATTTGCTGATCTATAAATCATAATAAAATAGTGGAAAGCTCCAAACTTCAGGAACAGTCGATCCAGGTTTTCTAACGGACTGTTTTCCTCATTTAGCGTTACGTCATAGCTTGGGCGTCATGTGACTGAGGAGATGACGTTGTTTTTCTCAGCGCTGACACAGCACTAATGATGATTGGGTTGATAATAGATGATTTAATCATGTGCGTTTAATCACGCTTTAAACAAAACAATGCCCATTCTCATGACATGTTTACGGAAATAAAATTTATTTATATAGGACATTTAATAATATGTGGTAATTTAAACCGCTTTAAACGCTTTTAAAGCGCCTTAAAAAGACCAAATGGATATGAATTATTTAGGACATGTACTGAAATCAAAATTCAATGTAAACATTTAGACTTTTAATATCCAGCTATAAAATATAAATAAAAAATAATATTATATAATAACATAATATAAGAATCCAATCGAAATTAAACAAACTACTGACTTTACTGCATTTCCCCCAAAACATTATTTTAATCATTTTTGAAACGCAATCCGTACTAATATTGTCCCTCTCACCGCCCCATATTTGTTTACATTCGCAGCCAGCAAACTCTTACTGACAGCGGAGGGTACACTAAGACTAAAACACAATAATGATAAACTAGTCAGGCTTAATTTACACACAATGACCCGATTATCATATAACACACTGTATATTTAAGTATATTATAGTTTCTATAGTATATTTATAGTTATAATAAATTACCGGCAGCTGATTTAAAGGGATGTCAGCCGTACATAGAGCAACCACGTGGGACATTTCAGATTCGGAGAATGAGAGTGATGACATTAAAGCATCATCATCATGTGTAATACTCGATCAGAACACGTCTATAAATGAATCAAACACTTCTCCACCCTCCGCCCGGGCGGAAGACAGCAGCATCAGCGCGGATGGAGTGAAGATCTCCGGAAGGAGGAGGAGGAGAGAGGAGGTGCTGGAGGAGCTGGAGGCGAGGACAGCTGCCAAAGAGAGACGGAGAGAGGAGAAGGACAAACTCAAAGAGGAGAAACTACAAGAGCAACAGAGAAGAAAAGAGGCAGCGGAGAGACTGAACCTGTTAAAACCTGAAAACTTCATTAAGAGTCTGACAGCTCACATTCATGCAGGTGAGAAACAACTTCCCTCCTGTTGTTGAGCATCTTGAAAAGTGGAGATGCAGGTGTCACTATAGTATATACGGTTATTGTGTTTCTCTCTCTGTAGTGCTGTTGCGGGATGCAGGCTGTGATGTGTTGCTCAGGAATCTTGATGGGTTGCAGTGGAGGAACCGGATAGAGAATCAAGATCTTCCTAACAGCATCCGCTGGACACAACAAGCCCTTCAGGTCACTAGTTACTCAGACTGTTGCTTCTTTCTTAGTCTGTCCATTAGAGGTATAGCAGAGGTGTCAGGTTGCATTATTATTGTGGCAAGGGCTCATTAATATCCCAGCAAGTGTTTGTTCTCTATGTGTGTGTTGTACACAGCAGACTGAGGATGAGGATAAAAAGGAAGTTATTGAAGAAGATCAGGTCCTGATGGTGATCTCCCATAATGAGTTAGAGGACATGGTGATGTCACATAAAACAGTGACCAATCAGTCGGTCAGTCATGATTATATTATTAATATATCATTAATATATATATATATATATATATATATATATATATATATGATATAATAATCTCTATCATTCTAGGCTCTTATTGGTGATATGTGTGAGGGGTCGGAGTCTCTGTTGAATCATCTATATAAGTACTTGACCAGAACTGCAGGGAAAGTTGTCACAATTCTAGTGATGATCAGTCATCAGCAACGGTAAACACACAGTCTCTCAAATCAGCTTATATTTAATGTTAAATCTCATAATATGAATGGATGTCTCTAAGTGCATGTGTGTGTGTACAGATCAGGATCTTGGGGTGAAGATGATCTTGACCTTCACCTCAATCGGCAGCATCTGGACACAGAAGAGGTCAGATAAATCCGTCATCGCCCTTGTCATTTTTCAGTAATGTAACCTCCCAGTGACCATGCCTTGTTTCTGTGATGGGCAGCTGTTGGTTCACCTCCAGCTCTACTGGAATGTGGCAGTTCACTTCCTGTTTGGCTGGCAGGAAGTGACCGATCATGTGGTTGCACTTACCAAGGCTCTATCTAAGAGACCTTACAAGTGAGTTTTACACAGAAATCATTTAAAAGCCCTGGGTTTACTTTTTTCTGTTTTTGCATTTTATCTTTTGACAAATTTGGGGTACTATTATTCATGCTTCTTATTAACTGTTATTAATTAGAATCAAATTAGGGAACTTGTCCAAATCAAATTAGGGAACTAACTGCTGTATAATATTAATTATGAATTGCTTTTAGTGTGTTTAATTTCAAACAGACTTTTAATCACTCTTAAAACTAGATCTGATCAAGTGGTATTCACCAGATGTGGTATAGGTCATACAAGTTTGACTCATGCTTTTTTGCTTAAAGGCCCCATCTATGCATATTTTGTAAGATTCCCCTCTCTGTTAAACATATTTTATTGGACTTCCTGGGTTTAATACAAGTAGAATGCTCTTTTATGAAGTTATTTCACATAAGGACTTATTTAGTAAGATTATGCCTGAAATGGTTTTGGAGATTTTTAAGATTTTTTAGCATATGTTACTTAAAAAAAAAAAAAATTGTATAATATGACTTGTTGTGTTTGCTTGGTTTTATTGTATTTATATGATATTTGTATTAAATAGAATTTTTGCCATGAAAATAGCCTTAGATGCTGACATGGCATTAAATAAAACTATCTATCTATCTTTCGTCAACAATAGCTGTAGTGTGTTTTTGTTGTCAGGGCGTTGTGTGGCGACCCTGATCTGGGCTTCTGCATGGACGGCTCGTGGTCAGCGGGTGTGCGAGTGGACAGAGACGGCCACGGTCTCGCTCAGGTGTGGACACGTCAGATACAGCAGCTGAACCGCGTCAGTCCAGCCATGGCCAAAGCCGTGACGAGCGCCTACCCTTCCCCTTCCCTCCTGCTGAAGGTAACGTGTGTTCAGACCAAGCGGCAACCTTCCCGTCTCTCTCTTTAAACCAACACGGAAGCGACTTAAACTGCAATTCATCGACTAACCGCTAGAGACAGGCTCCAAAAGAGAGTCAATCCCATGTTAAAATCATAGACAGTAAAAGAAATGGACACAGCGACCCCATAGACTTCAACAGGAGAAAAGTGAAGTCAAATAGAAGCACTCACTTCCTGATGGCTGAGCGACTGCACCGGCTCAAACTGAGCTTGACGACGTAGATGTGACGTGAGCAACCTGACTCACAGCTGTACGTCTTCTAGTAGCTGTGCCAAGAGGAATCTGAATCATTCCCTTCTGAATCTTGCAGAGCTGGAGATCATGAGTATTAGCTGTCAATGAGCTAGCAAAGCAACTTTATGACTCTCTATGGGCTTCTCGCTTGACTTTATGCCTCCACGTCCCCCCGATTGCGCGCGAGCTTCTACTTCTGTCTATACGGTAGTTTCTCTACTGTGCGACAGAGAGTCGCGTGTTATGACGCAATCGTTAGCCTATTTTTACAAAAACTACTTCTACGGGGCCATAACGTAAGATACAAGGTAATGGAGCCTTTTATACATTGTCGTGTTTCTTTAGAAATAAACAATGGACAAATGGAGTCTTTAAACACCTCAGATGTAAAGTTATTCGCTGTCAAAGTGACGCCAAAATGAATGGGAGTCAATGGAGTGCTAACAGCAGGTGAAGGCTTGTTAGCCAATGGCGGCCCCCGGGGAGGCTTCAGTTTCCGGCTGGTGGATTACCCCCTTGGTTAAAATGCCCAACTTTACAGCAGAAAAAAAATATGTTTACAGCCTGGTACAAAAAGTGATTTTGGTCTTTTATAGCTAGTTTTGCCCTTCATGACAACTGTGAGGGGGGGGTGAATTTTTTTATAACTCATCTGTTTAAATTATATTAAGCCTTAAAGTTCGGCCTAATAGGCTCTATGCACGATCGCTTCCGTGTTTTGTCTCAGCCTGCCCAGTTACATCCGGTGCTGCGTCGCAAGCTGTTTTTGCATTAGGTGGAGATAATGGCAAATTACACTCGCTTTTTACAAGAACTTCCAGCGGTTAACGTGAATGATGTTAACAATATTGTGAGGCAGTTAGCTGTCACACATAAGAGTAAGAAAGAGAAGGGCATTAAATTATATATTTCGAGCTACATCAACAACTTTGAGGGTGAGTAATCTCTCATATCATGCGAAATCCGACTAGCGAATCAGTTTCTAAAATTGTTGTCTCGTTTCTGAGAAAATTAATTTTATTAAAGTTTGGCCGCTAGAATAGCCTGGCATGCCAGACCTACATCAAGATGTTAGGTCTGGGAACTCTCCATTGACATGCCTCAATCCGAAGGGGCGGGATAAACGGTTACCTTTCAAAATCCCTCTGCACGCAATAGGATAACGCTACAACCAACCAGAGCAATGAACGGTTGTGGATGAGTGAGTCCCATGCGTTTTTCCACCAGCGGAGCTAATTGATATATTAAACTTTTGCCGTATCAGGTCGGCAAAACTCCGAACACATCTTCCTTTTTTAAGAATGACTTAAGTGACGTTCTCTTAACTCCAAGTCCTCCAGAGTCGCGGCCAAAGCCGATTCGAAAGACCGCTGCATCTTCATTGTTTTCAAGTAGCAGGAAAATCACCAATGGAAATCACGCGGCACGTCATGAACTGTGCCGTCATTGTGTTAATCCCGACTCTATACACGATGTGATTGGCCCGACCAGTTTTTGGTTTTTCCAGCTCAAAAGCCTATGGAGAGTTGCTAGACCACACTGGCTGCGAAATAATTTTCGCTGCCGCTAGGGTGCGTCTAGATTTCTAGGCTACCGCTAGTACACTTCGCTATAGAACGCGCTATGCGGAGGTAAAGAGACTGGCTGAGATTCTACCAGAAATACGTCAGCAGCGTTCGTGCATAGAGCCTATTAAGGGCGTGGCCACTTGAGTGACAAGTGGATTGTCACTGATGTCACTACTAGCCGTTTGTCTGCTGTCTGTTAGCATCACGTCACGTCAGCTAATCCCGCCTCTTTCCCCATTGCCGTTTATCCGGGAGTGACGCTCAGTGATGCGCTGCCCAGATGGCGACGGCCGGCTCCGCCCACTTTTGGCTTCAAAAATGATCCTCAGAAACCTACGGGTGACGTCACGGACACTACGTCTATATTTTTTTAGTCTATGTTTCAGAGTCACACTGAACATCATTCTTCATTGGCCCTCATTCTCATCCTCTCCTGCTCCAACAGGCCTATGAGGAGCTGCCGTCTGAGGAGGAGCGGCGCAGACTATTGGCTGATCTCACTGTAGTAGGCGGAGCCAAAGAGAGGCGTGTTGGTCCTGAGCTCGCTGGCCGTGTACATCGCCTCCTCACTTCCCAGAATCCTCATCTACTGCTGGATTAGGACCAGTGTGGTCCAATTGTGGAATGAAAAAACTAATTGTGCACTTTATAACCAGCATACTATAGAAGATTAAACTTCTTCTAAATGTTTGAACCTCAAATGAATACATTCATCCTCCAAAATGAACATATTCATTGCTTTGCTATCAATAACACTTGAAAAATGTCACATTAAATGTTTTGTAACATTTCAACGATACTAAAATAACTCTGCCTTG